GTTTACAAGTTATACAGTGGAATTTATTAAAATAATATTTTTTTAATTAGATTGTGTATAACTAATAAATACTCCTTTTTACAAATTATTTATTAGAAAAAATCACCTTTTTCTCAAAGAATTGTGAATTTAATTGTAAATGCTTTTATTCCGTAACTGAAATTATCTGAAGCCGACCCTGTCTACCGATACATTCGGTCGACTACACAATTAAATCACGTCTCCCGGTCATGCGCATTGGATTATTAACGACTAATAACTTCCCGCCATTTTCTTTCATTGCATCGTGAATGTGTGCGGTGTAAACACGTGATTCCTGTTATCAGTAGTTTGAACGTAGTACTTAATATATTTTTCGATTCGATCATCGGTACAAGGTCTTCTCGTCAAATAATCAAGTAAGTGTTTTGTTATCATTATTTGGCGCTCTACCCTTTTATTTTTCTCTGTTTACTATTTAATATCAGGCATAACCTCACATCATCGGATCACCTCACGGCGTGGGCTTGTGTTCGTCTAAGTTGCATGTAATTTTTGATTTGTGACTAGATAGAACACTCGCCTATAATGTGAGTATAATCTCTCTTTCAGTCAGGAATTAATTACGATTAATTATTAAGGAAAAAAAAAACGACAACGCTAAAGGATGATACCTACCTACCTGAATGATGGACCATGGTAATGTCGGATTTATTCTTCTTTGGTGATCTAGTTGTATGACTATTTTTCAATTCATAAAGCTAGTTCAGCAAAGCAGAATGCATTTGACTGTGCAACGCGATTTTGTACAGGGAGGGATTCTGAATTGAAGGAACTTCTGGTGTGATATGTTATTTTTTTGTCATATCACAGCCAGTAGTTACCTACGAAATGGAATCCCAATTTCTACATTCTCATTTAATTACAACTACAGCAAAATCCGTTATTTACAACTTGTACATACTTCAATCTACATAATATATACAGGGTGGCCAAGCTTAGACGCTACAGAGCTAGTAACTCGGCAGCCAAATTTTACGTCATTTCCGGTAGGCACTTGATTAAACGAAACGACTTCATTTTCTTTAATACCTACGAAAAATCTGCTTTGAATACCTAAAGGCAGAAGGTAATCAATAAAACATTTAGGGTTTGCTCAGTATGTCTGTTACTCAGTACCTACAATAGCAAATTACTGAAACATGTAAACGGTATATAATAAAATTATACACCATTTGAAAGTGAAAGTTGTATGAATTACCTGTTGTTTTATAGGTATTATGTGAAAATAATAATAGTAATTAAATTTTCAAAACAGTAATTTACAATTGGTGTAGGTATTTAGATAAGTACAAATTTTTAATGTATGTGCTGGACATTAGGAGTAATTTTATTGTCATTTAAGTTAATGTTTATGCCAATAATGTTAAGCCATGCATGCTTACATTGTTCATTGAACTCCCAAGAAAATTAATTTGTTTGTCACTAATCGTAATACGAATTAATGAAGTTGACTAATCTTAAGCGGCTAATAATATTTTAAGGTATTACGTTACAATATTTTTTCGATTTTGATATTTACTACTTATAATGGAAGATTTGTATATTTAACAGCCAAAATTAGTTTTTCTTTGTTAAATGTGTCTTATGTATCTAAAAATACCTAATATAAGAAAAACAATTCATCCGGTTCCGTCAGTCTACTCCAAAGTTGGCTTTGACATGCGAAACAAGCGTTCATATACAGGGTGATCTAAAATACGTGTCTCAAATTTTTATTGATATTTTCAAATCCTTATTTTCTTATCTGAACCGGTAGATTTTAGCAACCTACGGCATGCTGTCGGGCACGGGATGGGGTTAGCGGAGGAAAGAGGGTACGAAAAGCTTCCCCTTCAAAGATAAATTCTAATTTAATATTGGGATCCGTCAAATGGGCATACATCATCTGGTGGCAAAATTTATAACTCGAATGAGGGAAAAATTTACATAGGAACTGTGCACGCAAATTGTAAAATTATTTATTAAAATAATATTTTTTTAATTAGATTGTGTATAACTAATAAATACTCCTTTTTACAAATTATTTATTAGAAAAAATCACCTTTTTCTCAAAGAATTGTGAATTTAATTGTAAATGCTTTTATTCCGTAACTGAAATTATCTGAAGCCGACCCTGTCTACCGATACATTCGGTCGACTACACAATTAAATCACGTCTCCCGGTCATGCGCATTGGATTATTAACGACTAATAACTTCCCGCCATTTTCTTTCATTGCATCGTGAATGTGTGCGGTGTAAACACGTGATTCCTGTTATCAGTAGTTTGAACGTAGTACTTAATATATTTTTCGATTCGATCATCGGTACAAGGTCTTCTCGTCAAATAATCAAGTAAGTGTTTTGTTATCATTATTTGGCGCTCTACCCTTTTATTTTTCTCTGTTTACTATTTAATATCAGGCATAACCTCACATCATCGGATCACCTCACGGCGTGGGCTTGTGTTCGTCTAAGTTGCATGTAATTTTTGATTTGTGACTAGATAGAACACTCGCCTATAATGTGAGTATAATCTCTCTTTCAGTCAGGAATTAATTACGATTAATTATTAAGGAAAAAAAAACGACAACGCTAAAGGATGATACCTACCTACCTGAATGATGGACCATGGTAATGTCGGATTTATTCTTCTTTGGTGATCTAGTTGTATGACTATTTTTCAATTCATAAAGCTAGTTCAGCAAAGCAGAATGCATTTGACTGTGCAACGCGATTTTGTACAGGGAGGGATTCTGAATTGAAGGAACTTCTGGTGTGATATGTTATTTTTTTGTCATATCACAGCCAGTAGTTACCTACGAAATGGAATCCCAATTTCTACATTCTCATTTAATTACAACTACAGCAAAATCCGTTAATTACAACTTGTACATACTTCAATCTACATAATATATACAGGGTGGCCAAGCTTAGACGCTACAGAGCTAGTAACTCGGCAGCCAAATTTTACGTCATTTCCGGTAGGCACTTGATTAAACGAAACGACTTCATTTTCTTTAATACCTACGAAAAATCTGCTTTGAATACCTAAAGGCAGAAGGTAATCAATAAAACATTTAGGGTTTGCTCAGTATGTCTGTTACTCAGTACCTACAATAGCAAATTACTGAAACATGTAAACGGTATATAATAAAATTATACACCATTTGAAAGTGAAAGTTGTATGAATTACCTGTTGTTTTATAGGTATTATGTGAAAATAATAATAGTAATTAAATTTTCAAAACAGTAATTTACAATTGGTGTAGGTATTTAGATAAGTACAAATTTTTAATGTATGTGCTGGACATTAGGAGTAATTTTATTGTCATTTAAGTTAATGTTTATGCCAATAATGTTAAGCCATGCATGCTTACATTGTTCATTGAACTCCCAAGAAAATTAATTTGTTTGTCACTAATCGTAATACGAATTAATGAAGTTGACTAATCTTAAGCGGCTAATAATATTTTAAGGTATTACGTTACAATATTTTTTCGATTTTGATATTTACTACTTATAATGGAAGATTTGTATATTTAACAGCCAAAATTAGTTTTTCTTTGTTAAATGTGTCTTATGTATCTAAAAATACCTAATATAAGAAAAACAATTCATCCGGTTCCGTCAGTCTACTCCAAAGTTGGCTTTGACATGCGAAACAAGCGTTCATATACAGGGTGATCTAAAATACGTGTCTCAAATTTTTATTGATATTTTCAAATCCTTATTTTCTTATCTGAACCGGTAGATTTTAGCAACCTACGGCATGCTGTCGGGCACGGGATGGGGTTAGCGGAGGAAAGAGGGTACGAAAAGCTTCCCCTTCAAAGATAAATTCTAATTTAATATTGGGATCCGTCAAATGGGCATACATCATCTGGTGGCAAAATTTATAACTCGAATGAGGGAAAAATTTACATAGGAATGCAATAATGTGTTTGCAACGTTCTCTTAAATCGGCTTTGCTCGTGCAAGTCATTGATATGATATTGATTATATCACCCAGAATCACCTCACCAATTATAAAACGTGAATCACTTTTTAAATCCGAAGTTTGTAAAAAGTAGGCAGTAAACTTGACGGAATTTGAAGTCTAGCTTCCGGATTTGTTATTTCCGAATTTTATAATGTGATTGGCATTAAAAACACGCTCACCTTCAACAAAATTTCCTTTCCGAGGGTTTGTGTCAGCTCAATCACTTATTGTGTCAATACTTATCATTTTATCGTAATTTAAAAACTTGGAAATTGCACCATACACTATAGGAACTACGATAAATTTTCCCTAATCGGCGCCATGTTTTTAGACTCCTCCCATTTGACGGATCCCAATAGCCAATGTTTTATTATGTATTGTCTGCTTTATTTTATCGAATAATCTCGAAAATGAATTTTATTCTCAAAAGAGATCGGTTTTCTTCCCGATGGAGAGCTTCTCCTGTCCCCCCCTTTTTTTTCCCACCCTCTCGCGTGTCAGCTATCAGCAATTTTATCCCTGTTCGTTTTATGATGAATAGTATCATAAATAACCACAAATAGAAAAATAACTGGATGGATTAGTAAAAATTTCTGATTTATTGGTTTTTAAATGCGTACATTAAATATTGTTATGAATGGGGATTTTCTATGCTGGATTCAGTACTTGACGAAATTTTTAGATCATCGATAGCCTTGATAACGATCATTCCATCACCACGTTTCGGAACTTCATCCGGTATTATCTTCTTTGATTGAATCAAAGGTTTCATTTGCTCTTCCGCCATTGTTTGCAAACATTTATAGCCGCTGCTATCATTTAGCTGACTCTTATTTGAAAAGTCAAGTATTTTCACAATCGTATCTTTAGCGATTATCATTATCTGTTCATGTTTAGTCATCTCGCAGGTAAACTTGGGTAATGATGATTCTGTCGTATCTTCGACAGCCGCCTTTCCTGCTTTGCATTTACAATCCAGAAAACCGCACATAACGCATTTTTTATCGGATATTTGGATCTTCTTTTCCAAAGAATCTGTGTCAGTAAATTTATTCAAATTTTCTGGCATTTTGAGGAGGGTTTCGGATGGTTCTTCGGGAATAATACACGGTGAAATGTCATCTATTAATAATGACCATCAGTAATATCGATAAATTATTGTAGTAGAATACGAGGGGTGTTCAAAAATAAACGACATTTTATGACATTTGAAACATAAGAAGATCGCTTACCGCCACGAAGATGCTTTGACGATTGGCTGCTCATTGTTATTAGAACTTCAGTTTCATCCACGACCTCACTTTTCTCTGCTTGTTTTATTCTATTAATCGGATGCATAAATTCATCTGAAATATCACCATCTACTGACCTTCCTTCTTCTTCGGCAACATCAGAACATACAGGTGTTATCTGCTCGTCGCCATATCGAATTGGTTTATGTTCTTCCTCTTCTGCAAAAATGAATGTTAAAACGCGAATACTAATTAAATTGTAGTATTTTTCAGCTTACTTTCTTCTTTTTTACAACTTTTTGGTTTCCATAAACTTAAAAGCACAAGATTATCAGATGTATCGTCGTCTTCGTATTCGTTAAAAATTGATACTCCGCATTTTTTTGTTGTGCCCTTAAAATTTCATTGTTTGTATATAATAACATTTTTTTAGGGAGACAACATTAAGAATGTATATTTACTAAATCGAAATTAATTTTTCTTTTTCGTAGTTCTTCGTACAATTGCTCCCAAGGAAAATCTGGCGAATTCAATGAAATTGTTTCCTCTTTTTGTGGTTTTACTGTTGGAGTCTTTTTCTTTTTTAACTCCCTCGTATCTCTTACAAGCGAACAATCTACTGGTTTTATGTTAGTGTATTTTCTTAAATGTTCCCAAAAGCACGCACATTTATCTGAATCTTGGTAATTATTCGTGGGTTCAAAGTTGAAAACCTTAGAATCATAATGATCACTAATGTAATTGTTTCATTAGTAAAATGATGTAGGTACCTTAAACAAAGACTCCCCTGACATTATACTGTCGATAGTTCGGGTTCCTTGTTGATAAGAACATGAAGATAATGATAAATAGCTTTGAGGTGAATTTTCTTTTTTACTTTTTTCTATTGGACTGTTGCCCTTCGTTGAATTACGGCTACAACCCTCCCTATTTTTAAAATTTTCATGAATTTGCATTCGTTTAGGTAGATACTCTAGACTTTTTTAATCAAAGAATCATCAAAGATTAAGTGTCAAAAAATATTTTGACATTAATTCTTACATCCTTGATTTGAATAAGTGTCAAGTACCTTATTTACGAACTTGTTATTGAAGAAATTTTAATATTCATTTTTTTTTCTTTTTTGTTTATGTGCAATCGTAAACACCAACTGTGTGATTCGTGTGGTTGTTACATAGCCACTATCGTTGCATTGTTAACAAATGGATATGTTGTGGTGTAGTTATGGTTTATTGAACTTTTTTTCATTAAAAAGTTAATATATATACAAATTGAGAGTTAAACATTTAAATGAATTATAATATATTAATTAATTTATAACGTTTTTTGTAAGTGATTTTGGATAAAAGGTTGACACAATTTGAAAGTAATTGAACCCAAAACCGTGTAAATTTTTGTATTGATTTTGACAAAAACAGTGTGAACGTATCTCAAATAAAGTAAATTATGTTCTCAAAAGGCCAGTTTACAAATTATCTTGAAAACGATAAAGGAATTTTGGAAAAATGAAATTGTTATTAACCGCTCTAATGTAACATAACCTCAACGATGTGTTTATAAATAAAGGTGTTATTAATTATAAGAAAAATAGTATGACTATTTAATTGTTATTATAACAATTAGAAAATATGTCCAGTTCTATAATGCAACAGTTCTTGTCGGGATTGAAATCCCGACATCCAGAAGTAAGACTTAAGACAGCCCAGGAGCTTTCAAGTTTCTTAAAGAGTGAACTTCGAGAAGCAACTTCTGATGAAATAAACAGCTTTGTTGACAAATTAAATCATCACATTTTTGAATTGGTATCTGGTAATGATGCCAATGAGAAAAAGGGAGGAATTTTAGCTATAGGTAAAACACTCCTATTGATAAAATCATTTTGCCTTCAATTTTGTATGTATATTTTAAAGGGTGTCTTATTAATGCTGATATTGGTAATTTAACAACACGAACTTCAAGGTTTGCAAATTACTTAAGAACACTGTTTCCTTCAAATGACATTGAAGTAATGGAATTGGCTGCGGAAACTATGGGAAAATTGGCCTATGTCTCTGGTTCAAATGCTTCAGAATACGTTGAGTTTGAAGTCAAACGAGCATTTGAATGGCTTAATGGCGACAGAGTTGAAGTATGTTCTCAAAATAACACTTGTTATCTCTCATTTTTGTCGATTTTTAGGGCAAAAGGCATGCAGCAGTTTTAATTTTAAGAGAACTTGCTTTCATGATGCCCACGTATTTTTATCAGCAAGTGTCGCAGTTTTTTGAGTGTATTTTTTATGCTTTAAAAGATCCTAAGTCAAAAATACGAGAAACTGCAGCAGAGGCACTTAGAGAAGCATTGATTGTGACAGCACAAAGAGAATCTGCCAAACAGACTTCAAAGCCACAATGGTAACACTTAATTTGTAATTCTAATGATTAAAACTTAAATGTTATTGGGATACCTTTTAGTTTACATTATTAATGCTAGTTGCATTTTTTATATCTCATGTTTTAAAGAAATTGAAAAGAAACTATTTAAATGTTGACTAACTTTACTTACATTTTGGTATTTTCATACAAAACATACGGAATCAATTTTTTATCATTTTAATGAAGGTACAAACAATGCTACGATGAAACAGTTGAATTGCTAAAAGTGGATCGATATGATAAATCAAAAGACGATCGAATCCACGGCGCACTACTGGTCTTAAATGAACTTGTTCGTTGTTCTAACTCCGAATGGGAACACAAATATACCGCCTTGATGGAAAGTACCGATATTAACTTCAGTTCCGGCGAATATTTTTCCAATATGAACTTGCAGCATTGTTACAACAAAAAATCAGCAAGTTTCGTCCACTTTCCCAGCAGTGCTCTTCACACTCCGATCAACGAGTCGTCCGTCTGTCGACAACTTGTTTTCGAAAATTACGATTACATTTGTCTCGATGTTACGGCACAGAGCAGTTCTAGATCTCCTCATATTCAAAAAATTCTGCTCATAATATTGCCCCGTTTGGCCGCATTTAATCCCCGTAGATTTGCGGACAAGCATCTCCCTGTTACAATGAACTATCTTTTGAACACCCTTAAAGGAAGGGAAAAAGAGAGATCTTCAGCTTTCGTTACCATAGGCCTGATTGCCGTTGCATTAGAAGATTATATAAAGCCCTACGTTGACAAGATCATGGAAGTCATCAAAATGTCGTTGCCAAGTAGAGATACGCCCACAAAGAAACGGAATGTAATCGATTCTAGCATCTTTAGGTAAGTGTTGTAATGGGTTACTAATAATAAAGTATTTTAAAGAATAGTGGGATCATTACTTTTCCTGTTGTTATTGTTTCTCTCTAAAACCATCAGATACCTTCACAACACTCATTTCCGTATTTTCTACGATGTTACTTTAAAACGTCCCGATCATATTAGACATTGTCCTGATACCTCAAAAATTCCAGATGTATTACCTTCTTGAGTCATGCAGTTAAGAACCACATTCATGCTGATATCCAAAATGTCTTGGACCAAATGTTGTCCACGGGTCTCACGCCAGCATTAACAATTTGTTTGCGTGAGCTGGCCAAAAACATTCCCGCCTTAAAGCAGCCAATATCCAAAGGACTGTTGCAAATGTTATCCCAGATACTAACGAATAAGCCGTTACATCATCCGGGAATGCCAAGGTACCTAGCCAGTAACGTGCTTCCTTTTGGGCACATCCCGGAAATGACGGACACCAGTGGTATCGTTCTCGCTCTTCACACACTTGGAACGTTCGATTTCGAGGGTCATAGCCTGTTGCAATTCGTACAGAGATTAGCCGACCATTTTTTGGCCCACGAACAAAGAGAAATAAGACTAGAAGCGGTGAGGACGTGCTGTAGAATTTTAAAGCACGCTTTGATTAAAACTTCGTCTCATCATTCGGAAAAGGTAACTAATACGGTTGCAGAAGTCCTAAATAAGCTCCTTATAGTCGGATTGACTGATACTGAGAAAGAAGTTCGTTTCTGGGTGTTGTCTTCTTTGGATGCCACCTTTGACCATCATTTAGCTCAGGCAGAATCTCTAAGCGCCCTGTTTATTTCTTTAAACGATGAAGAGTTTGAGATTCGAGAGGTGGCGATGTGTATAATTGGACGACTAAGTACTATGAACCCGGCATACGTGATGCCGTCTTTAAGGAAAATGCTTCTTCAGTTTATTACTGAACTCGAGCATTCTGGTACCGGAAGGAATAAAGAACAAAGCGCTCGTATGTTGGACCGACTGATTGTGAACGCTCCTAGATTAATACGACCTTATTTGAAACCGGTGTTGCAAGTGCTCGTTCCAAAATTACGAGATCCTGAACCGTATCCTGGAGTTGTCCTTTCCGTTTTACACGCCATTGGCAATTTAGCAGAAGCCACTGGTGGAGACACCGAATTGCAACACTGGATGCCAGAATTATTAACTATTCTTTTGGAAATGTTGGGAGACGCTTCTGCAAGTGAAAAGCGCGCTGTTGCTCTTATTACACTCGGACAGTTGGTTGGAGCTACTGGTCATGTAATCAAACCGTATAATCAGCACCCTACATTGCTTGATGTGCTTATAAACTTCCTAAAGACAGAACAGAACTCTGTAATACGGCGGGAAACGATTCGGGTGTTGGGTTTGTTGGGTGCCTTGGATCCTTACCGTCATAAAATCATTAGAGGTCAGATAGATTATCTTCCAGAAGCCCCTGTATTGATAGCAATTGCTGACAAAGAAGAAGAAAACAACACGGATCTAAGCACGAGTGAGATGCTGGTAAATATGAGTTCTGGTACTTTGGAAGAGTATTATCCTGCTATAGTGATTGCAACACTTATGAAGATCATTAGAGATCCAACTTTATCTCAACATCACACAATGGTCGTCCAGGCTGTGCATTTCATATTTAAAAGTTTGGGAATCAAATGTGTGCCATACATTTCACAGGTGCTTCCCAGTATCCTAAATGTTATCAAAAGCGCGGACGTGAGTTTCAGAGAATTTCTTTTTCAACAATTGGCATATTTGATCGCCATCGTTAAGCAACATATTGGCAATTATCTGGACGACATTGTGAATTTGATAAATTATTTTTGGACTCTGAACAGCCCCATCCAAACAACTTTAATTAATCTGATCGAACACATTGCAGTTGCTTTGGGGTCAGGATTCAGAATTTATCTGCCAAGATTGATTCCTCGTATACTTCGCGTTCTAAATCACGACACATCCAAAGAACGTGTAGTGACAGTGAAATTGTTGGATGCGCTAAAAAAGTTTGGAAACAATTTAGACGATTACATGCATGTTATTTTGCCGCCGATTGTAAAATTATTTGACGCAGAGGATTGCCCGACAAACACGTCGAAACACGCTTTGGAAACAATAGATTATTTGGCAGATATATTGGACTTTAGCGATCTTATATCTCGTATTATCCATCCTTTAGTTCGTACGTTGGATAATTGTCCAGAATTACGTCCAGCAGCTATGGAGACTTTGTGTTCGTTGGTTATTCAACTAGGAAAAAAGTTTAACATATTTGTGCCCCTTGTAAATAAAGTCATAACGAAGCATAAAATACAGCACACGACGTATGAGATGCTGATAGCGAAAATTTCAAGCGAAACCACATTAGCGGAAGATGCTGATTTCCCACTTACGAGGCCTAGATCACGTAATAAAAACAAGGAAATAAATTTGGGTACATCTGACAATGTTGTAATTCAACGACTGAAGGTGTCACCCTCCAATCTTCAACAAGCCTGGACTCCGAATAGAAGGGTTTCTAAAGACGATTGGCTAGAATGGTTGCAGAGGCTAAGCATCGAGTTGCTGAAGCAGTCTCCTATACCAGCTCTACGTGCTTGCTTGTCTTTAGCACAAAGCTATCCACAGTTACCCAAGGACTTATTTAATGTCGCTTTCGTAAGTTGTTGGACAGAATTAAATGAAGGAATGCAAAAACAACTTATAAGCAGCTTGCAAAAAGCTTTGATGTTGCCAGACTTGCCGGAGATAACGCAGACTATATTAAATTTGGCAGAATTCATGGAGCATTGTGACAAAGGGCCTTTGCCTCTAGATCCTCATTTATTGGGAGACAGAGCAATGTATTGCAGGTATGAAACGTGTAAAGTATTGTATTCACTTTATATTCCAATTGCATGTTATTTTTAGAGCGTATGCAAAAGCGCTTCATTATATTGAAGAAGAATTCCAAAGGGAAGCTTCTAGTCAAGTTGTAGAATCACTTATAATGGTTAACAATAAGTTGCAGCAGAAAGAAGCTGCTGAAGGTTTATTGCAATTTGTTATGCATCGTAATTCTGACATACAGGTCCAAGTGCGGTGGTACGAAAAGCTTCACAATTGGGACAAAGCCTTAAATTTGTACAAAGAGGTATTAGAAACTAACGAAAACGAAGAAGAATCTATTGTAGGACAAATGAGGTATGACAAATGTTAACAACAGAAAGATTATTTGTGATTGGTGAATTATAGGGCTTTTGGGTATTCGTTGATTGAGGCAGCTTGTCCTCAATGTTTCGTCAACTTCCATCAGCTACTCTGGTAGAAAGAAATGATGTTCACGCGAGACGACGAAAGGTTGAGGGCAAAAAGCCTTAATCAACAACGACCAGAAACCTTGAGAGCCACTATTAACGCTGTATTATTTATTTATTGGCAATTTTTAGATGCCTTGAAGCACTAGGTGAATGGGACGTTCTACACAACATGGTAGAAACTAAATTTACCGGTTTGTCAGAAGATAATAAACAAAAGGCAGGTAGGCTGGCAGCAGCATCTTCCTGGGGCTTATATGACTGGGAATCTATGGAAAAGTATGAAACCATTCACCTTTCTGCTAGCTAAATATACAATTGTTAATTACATTATAGATACGTTAATGTTATTCCAAAGGAATCTCAAGATGGTGCCTTCTACAGAGCAATTCTTGCAATTCATAAAGAAAACTACGAAGAGGCTCAGAAATATATCGACACAACGAGGGATCTTTTAGATACGGAACTTACGGCAATGGCCGGTGAATCATACCAGAGGGCTTATGGAGCCATGGTAGTAGTACAAATGCTGGCAGAAATGGAAGAAGTGATACAATACAAACTGGTACCTGAACGACGACTAACTCTTAGGACTATGTGGTGGCAAAGATTGCAATCGGGACAACGGTTGGCTGAAGATTGGCAAAAAATTATTCAAGTGCATTCATTGGTTCTCAGTCCTTATGAAGATATTCACACGTGGTTGAAGTATGCTTCATTGTGCAGGAAAAGCGGATCATTGGTAAGTTTTTTATTTGGCAACGTTACAAAACTGTTCCATTTTAATAAAATAATTCGAAGTGGTCTGTATTCTGTCGAAACTGCCAGACGCGGATCGCGATTTCGATTTTTTTGGATCTCATCAGCATCGTGCTACAGATGGCGTTCACTGTGCCGTTTGTAGTATTTTCTGAAACGCACTGTTAAGACAGCAGGTAAAAGTTGGTCTGTGTTCTGTCGGAGCTGCCTGCGACGCGCTGNTACACAAAACAAGGAATTAATTTATTAAAATATTTGGGACGTTTAAAACACATACGGCACATTCCATCACTATTAGTTATATTATATAGTAGGAATATTTATTAGAACCTTAAGAACTTTTATTTGGAAATACTATTTGCACTTTGGATATTATTTGTTTTGTGTTTTTTAAATTTTCTGCCTTTCCATGTTATTGTAGATTAACCAATAGTAACGCAATATTGTATGGTTATTATTATTCAACTATTACTATCGTGAGTTCTAACCTGTAAAATTGTAACCGAAAATATGAGGAATATTTTTAAAATTTTGCGATTTACAGCTTCAGAATTCGGTAAAATATCAAATGAAAAACACGTTCTTTTTGGGTTTAGTGCTGTGCGAGGTCTTTCAACAATAAATGATAAACTAATTACTCCAAACAATACAATCTTGACTCCTTTAAGCCCCATAACTCAAGAATGGATCTGGAAGAAAAGGTACCCAATAAAGCTACCTGTCAATGTAAATACACCAAGTTTAGAACTTCCAAAAGTATCCAATTTAGATATACCATTGGAAATGCCATTTAGTACTGATGACAATAGGAGTAGCATTGTAGAACCCCCAACGAACACTGATACTGTTAGAAAAGAAGCAGCCCGGTTAATTGTTATTAGGAGGAAAAAAATGAGAAAGCATAAACTCAGGAAACTTAGAAAGAAGATGAAATATGTATGGGCAAAGGTAATTAATTAATAAAAATATTTGCACATTAATTTAGAAATATAGGTTACTAATTTAATTTTGGTGATAGATAAGGCAGAAGAGAGAGTTAGCCAAGGAGAAAGTGTTTCAAGCTGAACTTATAGCCCAATGTAAGAAAGCAGAAGCATTTAATGCACATGAATATGTTGCAGAGAAGCTTAGCCTTGCTTGCGAAACTCCAGTAACCCAAAGGAATCATATGGTTGATTTCACTAAGGAAAGGCACTAGGTTTGTTTTAAATTCATTATAATAGTAAATTAAACACTTTTAAGAGAACTGTTCATAAAAACCTGCAAATGAGTTTAAAATGAAATTAAAGCATATTAGTCACTATTACGGCAATTCATTTCAAATTAATCTCATTTACGATTAGGATTTCTATAGTGCCGAGAATTTATTAAAAGGTATTTAATACTCATTTTTCATTTGAACAAATTTTATTTCACCTTTAAATTTGAAAAAGAGGTAATGTAGTTGAATGTTTTATTAATAATGAACAATATATTAAAGAATAAGGTGATAATTATGCTCAATAACAAAATAATTTTATAAAAATCCTTAAAAATTACTTTGAACCTGCGGTAAACATCCTGATAAGATCTGGACGACCATCAAACATTTTGAGGAGCGAACTAGCGCGAGTAAAGGTGAATTCTGAAGTCCGCTGAAGGTGCTCTTTAGCGTTTTTATCACCGACAACTTTAACTTCATTGGGCTTATTTAAAAAGTCGTCCCTCTCTGAAAGAAGATTTGTTTTAACTTACCCACTACTTGACCTTTTGGCAACATTTTCTTACCTTCGCCATAAATAAGAAGAGGAGAATCCGAACTTTGAATGCTGGAAGTCTCAATTATGTGAGGCTCGGTGGTAAAACTAACAGCAGATGGTTTCTTTTCAGGCAATTTAATGACTTCGATGTGAGACATTTTCACTGCCTTCTTTGTATCCTCATCTGCAGTATCTAAATCGACTTTGATGATTTGCTCTTGTGATAGGTGACATTTTGGCGACTTGAGGGCTTTACTAACTATACCATCTACCACTTCGCTTGACTGTTTTCGAGCTATTTCTAGGGAATCCTTGGCAACATTTAACTTGGATGCTTCGTAAAGTTCTTCCTCTTCTTTCAACATCGTTATTGAGTCATCTCTTATCATAGGTGTTTGTTTAGGTGAAGAGATCATCATCGTGGGTTTACCATGTTCGTATGCCTTCTTACTAAACGACATTCTGTGAATTATTAGCGAATCAGTTATGACGCTTACACTTGTCTCAATTGGCTTAACGTTTTCATTTGATACAGATTTTTGGGACACCGAAACTCTCTTTTTGACTTTTTCCGAAGGTTGTTTGTCCGTACGGGCCTGTGATTCAGGTTTCAATGGAATAAACGGTATCGTCGATACATTGTCCTCTTCAGAGAGTCTTTGCAAAATCAAAGTTTCCACCGGTACATCGGTTTCCTGAGTCTGTTCTTGTTCGCTCGTTATGGTTTCCGTTTCGGTGTCTTCTTTGGTTTCGTAAGTATCACTTCCCAATGGCTGCTTTGCAGACAGTTTCTTTTTGAGTAACTCCAAAGAGTTAACGGCACCGATCAGGAGGGTATCACGTTCCGATTCTTTGTGTAACGCCAAATAGTTAATAGGCCCTAATTGTAGTTTACTGGACGGTTTTAGTGATGCCTTATTCTTTGTCATCATTTTGAATTCTGTATCTACACTCCTACTTTCATCCAAAACTTGTGCACCCGCAAAATAGACGTTAGACTTTGTCATGTTTTGTGACCTGTAACAATTTACATATTAAGAAAAGTTATCTGTTAACATTCTATAAAATATGACATTTTCAACTTCATTAAAACGTACTTTACACCCTTCAATTCAGGAAGTTCATCATCATCAACTCTAATCGGTTTTTTTAGCGGTCCTTTCATAATGTTTATCAAATCTTGAACATTTTTACTCCATAATTCGTATGAAGAGTCGACCTCTCGTCCCGTGGAAAGTAAATTGCGAAAATCTTCACGTACATATAAATTTTTGTTGTAATAGAAATGAGGTAAGTCATCTACTTCTCTGTCGTCTCCAGGTGGTTCGAGTTCTTTGAAACATCCATGGTAATCGGTTTCTACGAGATTCCTTTTTGAACCTCTTGCACTTATTATTTCCGAATCTTCTTTCCATGGTTGGAATTCTTCTATCAGTTTCGGACTTTGCTTGACTACTTGCTTAGTAAGTTCAAAAAGTAACATTTTTTCGAGACTCAGCAAAAATTCTGCTTGCGTTGGAGAAGATTTCAAGGCAAAGTTAATAAACTTCTGATATTGCTGAATTATTTCACGTAAGTATTCTTCACGTAAATCCAACTGTCTCTGCTTTTCTTTTATAGTTTCATTTAGCTCAGTTATCTTGTCTTCCATCTCTTGGTTGTATTGGTCCTTGTATTGTTTCTCGCATTCCTTCATTAACGCTTCTTTTTCAGCCATGCACTTCTTACGTTCAACGCATAGCACGCACATCAAGTTTGCTATATTTTTACATTCCAGTTGATGCCTAAGTTGCCTTAGTTTCTCTTCGTACTTTTCTATATCGGCCTTTTCTTTGATCTTATATTTGATTTCCATTTTTCTAAAACAGATGAAACGCCATACGTTATACAACGAATTAAATATAATGAAAATAAATCACGCACTTTAACTCTTCATTGAATTTCTTTGTCAGTTCTTCCTCTTGCCTCTTGAGATCTTCCATGAAAAGAGCTGTTAGTTTTTCTGTTGTCTCTCGAACAGCTTCATCAAGTTTAGCTTGCCAAATAATTTCAAGTTCATCTCTTTGTTGTTGCAATAACAGTTCGAATTCTGCAGTTAAACGTGCTTCTAATAGTTGTAGTTCTTCCTGTAGTTCCTCTTCCCATCTGGCATTCAATTCTAACATTCGTTCTTCACATAGTGCTCTTTCTTCAGCTCTAGTAGCATTTATTGCTTCTTGTTTCTCTATTTCAAACAGATATTCAAGTGTTTCTCTTTGTTCTTTCAACGCCCTCTGTTTTTCCAATTCCATCTCGTTCAAAAACTTCTGCTCAATTACTGATCCTATCTCTGTAAAAAATAATACCATTTTTTCCGTTTTATAGTGGGATTTGGTAAATCAATTACTTACTTAATATCCCTTCATGAGTAAGAGCTTTAATACACCTATTGGAATAAGGTGGTTTCAGGATAACTTTTCCTTCAAGTAAATCACTTGGGGATTGCCAGAGGACTTCACCAGGACCTCCCAAAGGCGGTGTAAGTCCCAATTTATCCTTTAAGGAGTCGATACATTGGTCGAATACGAGTTTCGACAAATCTTGACATTCCTTTTTCACCTCGCTAATTGTGGGAAATTCACCCTCATTTTCCATTAACTGTTTTCGTCTGTAATAGTATTTGCTTCTACCTGTATAGAAGTAAAAGGACCAAATACTTATACGTCTGTTTTTAACAATTATAATAATCATAATTAATAAAGCATTATTATTACTAGGAGCAGGTGCAGCACAAACTTCACATATTGAGTACCATTTGCATTCGATGCATTCTGGGAGATTGCAGCGGCAGATGCGTTTCTTAAGTTGTTCCTGTAACTGTTTCTTCGTTCTGCACCTAATACAATTGTGCAACCCACAGTCGCATTCCAAAATATCTTCACACAGGGGGTCGTAGGCTTTTTCCTCTTCTTCTCCCATATCGTCTTCTACTTTTTTAAATGTAAATGTTGTATTGCGGCATCTTTGGCACGTGGGCGAACCACAGGAGCAAACCACTTTGGGAGGTTCTTCGTCCGCCATGCATACACGCCTCACTCTCTTTTTGTACAGTTTCTCAAAAGAAGTTTCTGATTGTTCTAAATGTATAGATAAGAACTTTTAAGAAGTAGTTATCGAAGAAGGTACCATCTTTATTTCGGGTATTCACAAGGTAGTTCAGTTCAAAAACATTTTAAATTATACAAAGTTGTGTAATAAAATACTGCACAGTCAGAGACTTACCAATTGGTTCAACAAAACCGGCAATTTGCACTTTGTGTCGCCTGCCGTCATCTTCATCATCAAGGTCTTCAGTGCTTACTCCTCTTACCTTTTCTTCTTCATCAACGTCTTCTTCATTATCAATTTCCTCAATTATTTTTTTTAAACATGGTGTATAAATGGGCTTGACTTCATCAGTGGTACAAATGGGAAAACATTTTCGAATAGGTTGCTTTGGACGGAAAGGACACTCGTGGGTGTGAAGACATACCGTGTCCTCTTTTCCTTTTGGACAGCAGCAGAAGTTTTTGTAACCACATGCGGGCACAAACCATGTCTTTACGTTTTCGCTATTATCTTCGTTTTCTGAAGGCACATCCCCATCCCGCGCCATTTCGTCTTTAACATTCCAAATTTGAAGGAAATCGAAAGTTTACCTTTAGAATTTTCGCGAATAACTAAAATTCACATTTCGTTCGAAAATTTGAATTTGACAAAGACTTATTGGTTTCCACAGAAATACTTTTTGCTTGGTAACTAAATTAAAACAATTTATAGAATAGAAGTATTTATTTTTGTTTCAAATATAAGAACTTTGTATTTATTTACACGAATATTTAATGCCAAATAAATTGGGTATATAAAAAACATTTTTTCTACAAATAATGGCTCATAAACATGTCTGTAAAAAATAAATTAATTGGGTGTTAAATTTCATCCTAATCAGTGACCACTTCACTATGATGCTTTCTTCTATGTTTTATCAAATTCGCCTTACTTGTGTACTGTTTGGGGCAGTCTGAGCATGTAACAATGACTCCTTTACCTAAATGTTTGATCTCCACGTGTCTTTTCAGACTTGATTTGTCCCTATACTGCATCTCACAAAGTGAACAAGGGAAGTCCTTCTCAGCCTTGTTTTTGTTTATATGTCTGCGAATATGCTTGGCCAGTGTGGACTTTAGGGGAAATGTTTGATTGCAGATAACGCACTTGAAATTCCTTTCCCTAATGTGAATCAGTTTTTTGTGTGTTTTCAATGTGCTCGTACTAGTGAATCCTCGGCCGCATTGGTCGCATACATAGAAATTGGGATGAGTGTGGGTGCGTTTGTGAGCTCTTAAAACTGTTCTTCTTTGGAATGCCTTGCCACAGAACTTGCAAACATGTCTCTTAACAGTACTGTGCCCCTCCATGTGATCATCTAAATATGTTTTCCTCACAAATCCTTTGCCACACACGTCGCAAACGAACTTCTTTTTACCGCTGTGGAGTTCCTTATGGTGTTCCAACATATAGGCCTGTCGAAACCTCCTAGAACACTGGTCACAGCCATATGGTCTTTCCAGTGAAGATTGCAAGTTGCCTTCTAAAGAACGAGTGTATTTTCGTCGAGGCTTTGGTTCCACTTTGATGTAAGATACAGTTTCGACAGAATACAGACCACTTCGAATTATTTTATTCGATTAAGCTAACGTGCCTATCACGTTGAGGTTGGTTACGCCAGGATTCGTTTTCAGCAAGTAGATATCCACACAAGTGGACCTTGTTGAAAAATATGTAATCCTAAAATGTAGCATCGTGCTACAGATGGCGTTCACTGTGCCGTTTGTAGTATTTTCTGTTCCATTTTGTTGCATTTTTTAGATGCTGTCACATAAAACATTGGTAATGCTGATGGGCTATGATCCCAGTTTACAGCCAGATCAACCGTTACCCTGCCAGCAACCACAAGTGACTTTTGCTTTCTGCAAACATCTGTGGATGGCCGGGAAGAAACAAGAAGCTCACAGACAACTGTCTAATTTTCTGAGGGATTACACACAATTGACCGTCTCAGATGACTTGGATGACGAGAAAAAAAGACTTTTAGCAAGGTAAAATGAATAACTTAGAAGTTTAAATTCCTCGTATTTTATTGTAATCATAATTTTTAGAAGCTACCTAAAATTAGGGGAGTGGCAGGAATCTTTAGAGGGCATTAAAGACCAATCAATTCCTGTAATTTTGAAATGTTACCAGCAAGCAACTGAGCACGATCCTCACTGGTACAAAGCTTGGCATTCTTGGGCATTTATGAACTACGAAACTGTATTGTTTTATAAAAACGAAAATTCTAATAAGAACAATTCACCTGTTGCAAAAGGAGAAAATCAAAACGAAATAATTCAATACACCGTCTTAGCAGTTCAAGGATTTTTCAAGTAAATTTGAGAAAAATTTTAATATCATTGAAATGTTGATGTTGTTTTCTTAGGTCAATTAACCTTTCAAAAGGAAGTTCGTTGCAAGACACTCTACGTCTTCTAACGTTATGGTTCGATTATGGACAGTGGCCGGAAGTATACGAAGCAATCGCCGAAGGGATCCGAATAATTGAGAAAAATACTTGGCTGCAAGTAATCCCACAACTCATCGCGCGTATTGACACTCCAAAAATATTGGTATCACGTTTAATTCATCATCTTTTAATTGATATTGGAAAGGCTTATCCTCAAGTAAGTCCAGTTCTTGTGTGACCAAAAAAAAAAATAATAGAAATGTATGTGTTAATTAGGCTTTGATATATCCGTTGACCGTGGCATCTAAAAGTGCGTCAATAATGCGTCGCAATAATGCAAATAAAATATTAAAATCGATGAGCGAAAACTCGCCAACTTTAGTCAATCAAGCGATTATGGTTTCGGAGGAATTGGTAAGGGTAGCTATTCTGTGGCATGAGATGTGGCACGAAGGACTAGAAGAGGCTTCGAGGCTCTTTTTTGGGGAACAGGATATCAAGGGCATGTTTGAAGTCCTGGAACCATTACATGCTATTATGGAAAAGGGACCTCAAACACTTAAAGAAACCAGTTTCAATCAAGTCTATGGAAGAGATCTTATGGAAGCCCAAGAATGGTGTCAGCGATATAAGGTAAATACTTTTAAGGTTTGATACTAAAAAATGGTAATTGAAGTCTTCACGGTGAAACCTTAATAGCCGTTACAACCATTTGTAGGCTTTACTAATAATTTTTATATTATTTTCTTAAAGGTTTCGAAAAATATTCAAGATTTGAACCAAGCTTGGGAATTGTATTACCATGTATTCCGAAGAATTTCCAGGCAACTTCCTCAACTCACGTCGTTGGAGCTCCAGTATGTCTCTCCAAATTTGTTGATTTGTAGGGATCTGGAGTTGGCAGTTCCCGGTAGTTATTGTCCAGGACAGCCCGTAGTCAGGATCGCCTATATCCAGAGTGCACTTCAGGTTTCAAGCAACAGTTTTATAATTATTTCAAACTCAATTAATCTCTATTTGATAAAATTGCAGGTAATCACTTCAAAGCAACGACCAAGGAAACTTTTAATAAGAGGAAGCAACGGTAAGGACTACATGTTCCTTTTAAAAGGTCATGAAGACTTACGACAGGACGAAAGAGTCATGCAATTATTCGGACTGGTAAATGCACTGCTTTTAAAAGATCCGGATACTTTAAGAAGAAACTTAACAATTCAAAGATACGCTGTGATTCCATTAAGTACAAATTCGGGTTTAATTGGTTGGGTGCCGCATTGCGACACATTGCACACACTGATCAGGGATTATAGGGAGAAGAAGAAGATTTTATTGAACATAGAACATCGAATAATGTTAAGAATGGCTCCAGATTATGACCATTTGACATTGATGCAAAAAGTTGAAGTTTTCGAACACGCTCTCGAACACACACATGGTGATGATTTAGCCAAGTTGTTGTGGTTAAAGAGCCCTTCTTCGGAAGTGTGGTTCGACAGGCGTACAAATTACACTCGATCGTTGGCTGTAATGTCCATGGTTGGGTATATTCTGGGTAAGCGTCCTTTTCATATGGAGAGTTAAATAATGCACATATTTCTTAAATAGGTCTGGGAGATCGTCATCCATCAAATTTAATGTTGGATCGTATGAGTGGCAAAATTCTTCACATTGATTTCGGTGATTGTTTCGAAGTGGCTATGACGCGAGAGAAATTCCCTGAAAAGATCCCTTTCCGTTTGACCAGGATGTTGATAAACGCTATGGAGGTTACAGGGATAGAGGGGACGTACAGGAGAACATGTGAATCTGTGATGTCTGTGTTGCATAGAAACAAAGACAGTCTGATGGCCGTTTTGGAAGCCTTCGTGTATGACCCTTTGCTAAATTGGAGACTGATCAATACTGGTCGAAACAATAAATCCAATACTAACGATGTAGGATCTATATCGGGAGTTTCTTCGCAGGAACAAGAACTAGGCACTTTGAGTTTGAATTTGTCAAGAAAGGGACAGCCGTCTCCCGATTTTATAGGGGACGGGTCCCAGTCAGAGGCTGTCAGTAAAAAAGCGTTGGCCATAATTACAAGAGTGAGGGATAAACTGACGGGAAGAGACTTTCCACAAGAAGAAAATGTCACGATTCAGAGACAGGTCGAATTGCTGATTCAGCAGGCCACAAGTAACGAAAATCTGTGTCAGTGCTATATAGGGTGGTGTCCATTTTGGTAGACGTGAGTTAACAAGAGTAGATTAATTTTTATTTTGCGTACAAAAAGAAAATTCTTTCGAGTAATATGTTTATAAAAAGTAGGGGGAGGTTTTAGATTTTACTTATCCTTTCCTAGTATACGGGCAGGAGCAGTAACGCAGCTAAAATTTATGAAAGGGGGAGTTAAGTTATAAATGTTAATTATATTAAATAAAACAATAAATGTTGTAAAATCTAACAACATAATAATGCATCTTTATATTTACTTTAAAAAATTAAACGAATGTGGCAGGGTTATTGCTCTATTTATCTGTTTATCTGCTTGTATTTACGATGAAGTTTGTTGATTATTACTCGAACTTCTCATACTTCAAAATAATTTTATAAAAACTTTATAGTCGATAAGTGGTGTTTGAACAACTTAAAGTTCTCCGTAGCTAAGCCACTGGACGAAACGGTCTAAAATTATTAAAATTGTGTTATCAATATGTTTGTATATACGAAAATGTTCTTGATGAGGTTAATATTTAATATTAAACATTAAACTTTCTATCCTCTACATATTATCCCAAATTTAATAAGGGAAAAATTGTTGGGATAATATGTAGAGAGTAGAAGTTAATTTCATTTTAATGTCCAATATTAAAATTATGTTTACGTAATATTTGAGTGGCCTCCAAAAGCCTTTCTGAGTTATTTTTTTCGTTCTTCATTTAAGAAAAAGGAGAAACAATAATTTTCATTTTCCTTTTTGTGTTTTAAAAAAATATTTTATTACAATTTCGGTTTTTGTATATTATGTACTTATAAACTTTTCTTGTAAATAATGACCCCTATATAATATTTCTAAGCTCGAAAAGTCTGTTAATTCTATGTATAATTAATAAAATACGCGAATTAATTTACGAACAATTTTTTTCTTTCCTTCTTTTTTAGTAAAACACAGAATGTTATTACACAAAACAAGGAATTAATTTATTAAAATATTTGGGACGTTTAAAACACATACGGCACATTCCATCACTATTAGTTATATTATATAGTAGGAATATTTATTAGAACCTTAAGAACTTTTATTTGGAAATACTATTTGCACTTTGGATATTATTTGTTTTGTGTTTTTTAAATTTTCTGCCTTTCCATGTTATTGTAGATTAACCAATAGTAACGCAATATTGTATGGTTATTATTATTCAACTATTACTATCGTGAGTTCTAACCTGTAAAATTGTAACCGAAAATATGAGGAATATTTTTAAAATTTTGCGATTTACAGCTTCAGAATTCGGTAAAATATCAAATGAAAAACACGTTCTTTTTGGGTTTAGTGCTGTGCGAGGTCTTTCAACAATAAATGATAAACTAATTACTCCAAACAATACAATCTTGACTCCTTTAAGCCCCATAACTCAAGAATGGATCTGGAAGAAAAGGTACCCAATAAAGCTACCTGTCAATGTAAATACACCAAGTTTAGAACTTCCAAAAGTATCCAATTTAGATATACCATTGGAAATGCCATTTAGTACTGATGACAATAGGAGTAGCATTGTAGAACCCCCAACGAACACTGATGCTGTTAGAAAAGAAGCAGCCCGGTTAATTGTTATTAGGAGGAAAAAAATGAGAAAGCATAAACTCAGGAAACTTAGAAAGAAGATGAAATATGTATGGGCAAAGGTAATTAATTAATAAAAATATTTGCACATTAATTTAGAAATATAGGTTACTAATTTAATTTTGGTGATAGATAAGGCAGAAGAGAGAGTTAGCCAAGGAGAAAGTGTTTCAAGCTGAACTTATAGCCCAATGTAAGAAAGCAGAAGCATTTAATGCACATGAATATGTTGCAGAGAAGCTTAGCCTTGCTTGCGAAACTCCAGTAACCCAAAGGAATCATATGGTTGATTTCACTAAGGAAAGGCACTAGGTTTGTTTTAAATTCATTATAATAGTAAATTAAACACTTTTAAGAGAACTGTTCATAAAAACCTGCAAATGAGTTTAAAATGAAATTAAAGCATATTAGTCACTATTACGGCAATTCATTTCAAATTAATCTCATTTACGATTAGGATTTCTATAGTGCCGAGAATTTATTAAAAGGTATTTAATACTCATTTTTCATTTGAACAAATTTTATTTCACCTTTAAATTTGAAAAAGAGGTAATGTAGTTGAATGTTTTATTAATAATGAACAATATATTAAAGAATAAGGTGATAATTATGCTCAATAACAAAATAATTTTATAAAAATCCTTAAAAATTACTTTGAACCTGCGGTAAACATCCTGATAAGATCTGGACGACCATCAAACATTTTGAGGAGCGAACTAGCGCGAGTAAAGGTGAATTCTGAAGTCCGCTGAAGGTGCTCTTTAGCGTTTTTATCACCGACAACTTTAACTTCATTGGGCTTATTTAAAAAGTCGTCCCTCTCTGAAAGAAGATTTGTTTTAACTTACCCACTACTTGACTTTTTGGCAACATTTTCTTACCTTCGCCATAAATAAGAAGAGGAGAATCCGAACTTTGAATGCTGGAAGTCTCAATTATGTGAGGCTCGGTGGTAAAACTAACAGCAGATGGTTTCTTTTCAGGCAATTTAATGACTTCGATGTGAGACATTTTCACTGCCTTCTTTGTATCCTCATCTGCAGTATCTAAATCGACTTTGATGATTTGCTCTTGTGATAGGTGACATTTTGGCGACTTGAGGGCTTTACTAACTATACCATCTACCACTTCGCTTGACTGTTTTCGAGCTATTTCTAGGGAATCCTTGGCAACATTTAACTTGGATGCTTCGTAAAGTTCTTCCTCTTCTTTCAACATCGTTATTGAGTCATCTCTTATCATAGGTGTTTGTTTAGGTGAAGAGATCATCATCGTGGGTTTACCATGTTCGTATGCCTTCTTACTAAACGACATTCTGTGAATTATTAGCGAATCAGTTATGACGCTTACACTTGTCTCAATTGGCTTAACGTTTTCATTTGATACAGATTTTTGGGACACCGAAACTCTCTTTTTGACTTTTTCCGAAGGTTGTTTGTCCGTACGGGCCTGTGATTCAGGTTTCAATGGAATAAACGGTATCGTCGATACATTGTCCTCTTCAGAGAGTCTTTGCAAAATCAAAGTTTCCACCGGTACATCGGTTTCCTGAGTCTGTTCTTGTTCGCTCGTTATGGTTTCCGTTTCGGTGTCTTCTTTGGTTTCGTAAGTATCACTTCCCAATGGCTGCTTTGCAGACAGTTTCTTTTTGAGTAACTCCAAAGAGTTAACGGCACCGATCAGGAGGGTATCACGTTCCGATTCTTTGTGTAACGCCAAATAGTTAATAGGCCCTAATTGTAGTTTACTGGACGGTTTTAGTGATGCCTTATTCTTTGTCATCATTTTGAATTCTGTATCTACACTCCTACTTTCATCCAAAACTTGTGCACCCGCAAAATAGACGTTAGACTTTGTCATGTTTTGTGACCTGTAACAATTTACATATTAAGAAAAGTTATCTGTTAACATTCTATAAAATATGACATTTTCAACTTCATTAAAACGTACTTTACACCCTTCAATTCAGGAAGTTCATCATCATCAACTCTAATCGGTTTTTTTAGCGGTCCTTTCATAATGTTTATCAAATCTTGAACATTTTTACTCCATAATTCGTATGAAGAGTCGACCTCTCGTCCCGTGGAAAGTAAATTGCGAAAATCTTCACGTACATATAAATTTTTGTTGTAATAGAAATGAGGTAAGTCATCTACTTCTCTGTCGTCTCCAGGTGGTTCGAGTTCTTTGAAACATCCATGGTAATCGGTTTCTACGAGATTCCTTTTTGAACCTCTTGCACTTATTATTTCCGAATCTTCTTTCCATGGTTGGAATTCTTCTATCAGTTTCGGACTTTGCTTGACTACTTGCTTAGTAAGTTCAAAAAGTAACATTTTTTCGAGACTCAGCAAAAATTCTGCTTGCGTTGGAGAAGATTTCAAGGCAAAGTTAATAAACTTCTGATATTGCTGAATTATTTCACGTAAGTATTCTTCACGTAAATCCAACTGTCTCTGCTTTTCTTTTATAGTTTCATTTAGCTCAGTTATCTTGTCTTCCATCTCTTGGTTGTATTGGTCCTTGTATTGTTTCTCGCATTCCTTCATTAACGCTTCTTTTTCAGCCATGCACTTCTTACGTTCAACGCATAGCACGCACATCAAGTTTGCTATATTTTTACATTCCAGTTGATGCCTAAGTTGCCTTAGTTTCTCTTCGTACTTTTCTATATCGGCCTTTTCTTTGATCTTATATTTGATTTCCATTTTTCTAAAACAGATGAAACGCCATACGTTATACAACGAATTAAATATAATGAAAATAAATCACGCACTTTAACTCTTCATTGAATTTCTTTGTCAGTTCTTCCTCTTGCCTCTTGAGATCTTCCATGAAAAGAGCTGTTAGTTTTTCTGTTGTCTCTCGAACAGCTTCATCAAGTTTAGCTTGCCAAATAATTTCAAGTTCATCTCTTTGTTGTTGCAATAACAGTTCGAATTCTGCAGTTAAACGTGCTTCTAATAGTTGTAGTTCTTCCTGTAGTTCCTCTTCCCATCTGGCATTCAATTCTAACATTCGTTCTTCACATAGTGCTCTTTCTTCAGCTCTAGTAGCATTTATTGCTTCTTGTTTCTCTATTTCAAACAGATATTCAAGTGTTTCTCTTTGTTCTTTCAACGCCCTCTGTTTTTCCAATTCCATCTCGTTCAAAAACTTCTGCTCAATTACTGATCCTATCTCTGTAAAAAATAATACCATTTTTTCCGTTTTATAGTGGGATTTGGTAAATCAATTACTTACTTAATATCCCTTCATGAGTAAGAGCTTTAATACACCTATTGGAATAAGGTGGTTTCAGGATAACTTTTCCTTCAAGTAAATCACTTGGGGATTGCCAGAGGACTTCACCAGGACCTCCCAAAGGCGGTGTAAGTCCCAATTTATCCTTTAAGGAGTCGATACATTGGTCGAATACGAGTTTCGACAAATCTTGACATTCCTTTTTCACCTCGCTAATTGTGGGAAATTCACCCTCATTTTCCATTAACTGTTTTCGTCTGTAATAGTATTTGCTTCTACCTGTATAGAAGTAAAAGGACCAAATACTTATACGTCTGTTTTTAACAATTATAATAATCATAATTAATAAAGCATTATTATTACTAGGAGCAGGTGCAGCACAAACTTCACATATTGAGTACCATTTGCATTCGATGCATTCTGGGAGATTGCAGCGGCAGATGCGTTTCTTAAGTTGTTCCTGTAACTGTTTCTTCGTTCTGCACCTAATACAATTGTGCAACCCACAGTCGCATTCCAAAATATCTTCACACAGGGGGTCGTAGGCTTTTTCCTCTTCTTCTCCCATATCGTCTTCTACTTTTTTAAATGTAAATGTTGTATTGCGGCATCTTTGGCACGTGGGCGAACCACAGGAGCAAACCACTTTGGGAGGTTCTTCGTCCGCCATGCATACACGCCTCACTCTCTTTTTGTACAGTTTCTCAAAAGAAGTTTCTGATTGTTCTAAATGTATAGATAAGAACTTTTAAGAAGTAGTTATCGAAGAAGGTACCATCTTTATTTCGGGTATTCACAAGGTAGTTCAGTTCAAAAACATTTTAAATTATACAAAGTTGTGTAATAAAATACTGCACAGTCAGAGACTTACCAATTGGTTCAACAAAACCGGCAATTTGCACTTTGTGTCGCCTGCCGTCATCTTCATCATCAAGGTCTTCAGTGCTTACTCCTCTTACCTTTTCTTCTTCATCAACGTCTTCTTCATTATCAATTTCCTCAATTATTTTTTTTAAACATGGTGTATAAATGGGCTTGACTTCATCAGTGGTACAAATGGGAAAACATTTTCGAATAGGTTGCTTTGGACGGAAAGGACACTCGTGGGTGTGAAGACATACCGTGTCCTCTTTTCCTTTTGGACAGCAGCAGAAGTTTTTGTAACCACATGCGGGCACAAACCATGTCTTTACGTTTTCGCTATTATCTTCGTTTTCTGAAGGCACATCCCCATCCCGCGCCATTTCGTCTTTAACATTCCAAATTTGAAGGAAATCGAAAGTTTACCTTTAGAATTTTCGCGAATAACTAAAATTCACATTTCGTTCGAAAATTTGAATTTGACAAAGACTTATTGGTTTCCACAGAAATACTTTTTGCTTGGTAACTAAATTAAAACAATTTATAGAATAGAAGTATTTATTTTTGTTTCAAATATAAGAACTTTGTATTTATTTACACGAATATTTAATGCCAAATAAATTGGGTATATAAAAAACATTTTTTCTACAAATAATGGCTCATAAACATGTCTGTAAAAAATAAATTAATTGGGTGTTAAATTTCATCCTAATCAGTGACCACTTCACTATGATGCTTTCTTCTATGTTTTATCAAATTCGCCTTACTTGTGTACTGTTTGGGGCAGTCTGAGCATGTAACAATGACTCCTTTACCTAAATGTTTGATCTCCACGTGTCTTTTCAGACTTGATTTGTCCCTATACTGCATCTCACAAAGTGAACAAGGGAAGTCCTTCTCAGCCTTGTTTTTGTTTATATGTCTGCGAATATGCTTGGCCAGTGTGGACTTTAGGGGAAATGTTTGATTGCAGATAACGCACTTGAAATTCCTTTCCCTAATGTGAATCAGTTTTTTGTGTGTTTTCAATGTGCTCGTACTAGTGAATCCTCGGCCGCATTGGTCGCATACATAGAAATTGGGATGAGTGTGGGTGCGTTTGTGAGCTCTTAAAACTGTTCTTCTTTGGAATGCCTTGCCACAGAACTTGCAAACATGTCTCTTAACAGTACTGTGCCCCTCCATGTGATCATCTAAATATGTTTTCCTCACAAATCCTTTGCCACACACGTCGCAAACGAACTTCTTTTTACCGCTGTGGAGTTCCTTATGGTGTTCCAACATATAGGCCTGTCGAAATCTCCTAGAACACTGGTCACAGCCATATGGTCTTTCCAGTGAAGATTGCAAGTTGCCTTCTAAAGAACGAGTGTATTTTCGTCGAGGCTTTGGTTCCACTTTGATGTAAGATGTGGTACAATAATTGTCGCAATCGATGTCGTCCAATTTGTGTTTGGTACGCATATGAGATTGGAAACTGCTTTGATATAAATAAGCTTCTCCACAAGTGTCACACTCATATTTGGTGATAACACGAATGGATGGATCATTTAGCATTTCATTAACTTCCTCAGATTCTTTACTATTTACAGAATCCTCGTTGTTTTTTAAATCGTTACTGTTGCTATCTTCATTCTCAGTGGTGTTTTCTTTATGGTATGTCTGCATATGTTCCACATAGTATTCTTCATACAAGTATACTTCGCTGCAAAGGTCACATTCATACCGTGGAACTGTATGATTACTGTCATTCTCTTGAGCATATTTAAGTCCATTAAAGTCATAATCTTCATCAGCAGATAGTACTTCTACAGCTTCAACCTTTATACGATAACCTTCATCACCATCTTTATAATTGAATATTTCTGTAATGTTATCATTTTCATAATTTGTGTTAATATTAGTAGCTTCACTTGTCTGACATGGCTTTAAAGTTGCAGAGGAACTTTGATTATTTTCATCAATGATGTGATATTCTACCTCTTTATTCTCTGCATTGTATTCCTCGTATACACCATTGCTTTCACAATTGGTTGGATTATTTCCTTCATTTTCATTTTTTACTTTGTTGGACCTCTGCAGAACTTCTTTTAATTGTCTGTCTGACTCTTTATAAACAACGGCGAAATTATAGAACTGCGTTAAAACTAGGGTGCAGTTATCACACAAACAAGATGGGAATCCGTCTCCTTCGTTAACCTGAAGAAAACATTTATAAAACGTTACTTAATTAATTTAAATAATTGTTATTCGTATTGATAGTGGTTAAAACATTTGAATATTTCAAAATTACCTCCGCATTAATGCAACTCCTTAATATAGCGGCTAAAGTAAGTCCGTGCTCGTAATTTTCGTACAACGAAAACATTCCTTCCTGATGCGTCAAACATGCTCTGCAAACCTCACTAATATCAACTTCCATATTTAGTGGCTTTGGTTTTGTTTTTTAAAATTACAAAAACAAATTTTTGAAAATGCCTAATTCGTAAACACTATCTTCGACCTGTTTTACCGTCCTCGAGCGTTTAGAAACTTCGCATAGCCTAAAAAACGTTGTGAAATTGATAAACGCCACAAATGAAGAAATGTCCATGGCTGCAGATACGGTGCAGTAATTTTGACATTTTGTGTATCTCAAGGTACATATTTCGACTACTGTACCGCAGATGTCGCATCTAGTCATTGATTTAAATGTTGATGTTTATTCACATTAATATAATAAAAATACAATTAAAATTGAATAAAACAGCCGCTTAATATTAAGTTAATGTTTTATTTAAATTATATTTAGTTTAACGTGTCTATGAATTCATATATGAAAAAAAAATTAAAAATAAATTAAAAATTTTTGCATATTTGACACTAACCAGAAATTTTGACAGCTGCCAAAAAGGGAAGAGTGGTGGGAAGCAGTAGCTAAACTTTCCCTTTAATTTTAATTTATAAGAGATATGTGTTTAATGTAGTGTAAAATTAATTAATAAGCTTGTTGTGGGTGGCGGCGGAAACTTTTCGTAATGTAAGTACCTGCCTTTAAAAACAAAACATTAATTGTAGTATGAAAGTCGTTATAATGGGTCAATTAAACCTGTGTATAATAACGACAAAGTGATGTTTTAAGTTCGCTGTTATATTTAGATCGTAGTTTATTACCCAATTTATTTGTTAACCGGACGTATAAGTCGTTAGTTTGAGTCCCCCATTCTTTAAAAGCATGAAGGAAATATCTTTGAACCTGTAGGTAGCAATACAACATCCTGTAAAATTATTAACTTTATTGCCTTTTAGGCTTTTTATTGGGATACTTTTTTGCTAATATATGGACCAAAGTAATGCAAAATACGGTTTACACCCAAACGGCAGTATTGATTTAGACCAAGTGTTAAATTCTAAAAATGAAAGAAAAACTGCAGCCAGAAGACGATGGGCCATCTTAGCCAGGGCTCTAAAGGTCTGTTTGCTTGTAATTTTTGACTTGGATTTTTCGCTTTAGAAGTCACTTTGTTGTAGTATATAGTTCAGATACTTTTCTGATTTTGTTTTATTTTTGTGAATACTAAATCAAGTGAACTGATTTGGTGTTTTTTTTATATTTGTTAGAGTCCAACTGGCAGTGAACCATCCAGTCCAACTGATGAATTCTCTGTCCGTCGGATATCTTCCTTCATGCTTTTAACCACACAACAGTTGCCAAATATTCCCTTTGATGTGAATGAAAGAATGGATGATTATGTCTTAGAGCAGGCAAAAAAGCGATCGTGGTACAAATATTCCATGCACATTAACAATATCGAGTACTTTTTGGTTATTGGACATCGTAACAGAACATTCTCAGCTGAAGACCTCATGGGCTTCAACAACACAGGAAATATTTGTATTTGGCCATCTGAGGAGACCCTTTGCTATTATATTGGATCAAATTTTGATTTATTTGAAGGTAAAACGGTCTTAGAGCTCGGGGGTGGTATGTCTTGTATGGCGGGGCTTATGGTTGCTAAATATGCGTCCGCCAAGCACGTTCTGGCCACTGACGGCAACAAAATATCGGTTGATAACGTAAAAAATTGTCTTTACTTCAATAAATTCTCATGTCCAATAATGGCAAAAGTTTTGAAATGGGAAGATGTTAAAAATCAGAAAAACGCCATCAGTTACGATGTTATTTTGTGCGCAGATTGTTTATTTTTTGACGATGCTCGAAATTGTTTAATCGAAACGTTGTGGAATACTCTATCAAACAACGGGTTGGCTTTGGTAATGGCACCCCGAAGGGGCCTCACTCTCACGAAATTTCTTGGCCAAGCTCGCGAAAAGGGCTTCCATTGTAACGAAATTGTCAAATACAATGCGGTCGTTTGGGAAAAACACGAGATTTTGCTAGAAAACGACGATTACGATGAAGATATACATTATCCTATCCTTATAGAGGTGACCAAAACTAAGTGCCCTTAGTATTATCCACATTTATCAATATTATTATTAATTACTATAATACTTAATTATATATATTACCTATCGTACTGGTTAGGATTTAAAAAATGCAAGTATTTTTAGTCTAGTCAAATTATTAAAAGAAAAAGAAAAACCTTTTAACCTTGTCTGTGATAAACAATACCAATTAATTAGTTTTTTGTGTATTACTAGGTACTTATATCAGTCACGGGAAGTCATATACAGGGTGTAATTCTTTGAACACTTTTTTTTCGTCGTTTCTACTTTAGAAATAGTAATGGTTTTAAATATAGGGAGTTAATGAAGTATCATTGAAAGATAATATTGAAAATAGGGTAGTAAAAGACCGTCCATAAAATTTTTCATCCCATGGTAATCCCTTTTTCATCCTGTCACAGTAACACCACCCTCTAAATAACTCCCTTAAATATGTTCGTATTTTGAGGACGGTGCTTTTGTCTTTTTTTATTGAGGTATTACTTAAATTTCTAATAGAGAAATATTTTTTAGTTTTAAAAGTCTTCTCCCTGTATATGTTTACAGGGTCTTCGGGTTTGTCATATAATTAACAAACTACTTTATTATTGTTAGTCATTTTTCATCCCTATTTTCTTAAAGCACAGACGGAATTTCTGCTGTCTTTCCGTTCTTCGAATGACCAAATTCATTGTCACAACTAGAAAGAACTATTTGCTCAATATTAAGTAAAATGTCAGAACACCAATAATTTTAAAAAGAAACTAGTGAGCATTTCGTTAGTTTGAGTAGATAATTATTAGAAGAAGTCGATACATTGCTTTAATTGAGTATTGTACTTACTTCCTACAGATTGACCCTAAAATAAGACTTTTTTCCTCGTTATTATTTTGATTTATTTTCGATTATGTTTTATTGAAGCGATTTGTAATAATTATCAAAAAAGGATTTTTTCAATTTTTTCTTCATGTTTCAACCGCCAAGTACATTTTGTAGTTGATTTATGCCAATGATGAACTCAAATAATTCCCTACCAAATAATCTGTACTCGAATTTTCTATGATCAAATTCAGCAAAGTATGAAACTATTTTTTTTTTCGATCTTATTTTTGTTCAGAACTTTAAATTCGGCGAGACACATTTTAATTTTATTGGGTTTTTATATGAAAAAAGTTGCCTTTTTGTATATTAATATTATTTTTATTCTTTCGTTATGTTATTAAATTCTAAAAATGTGAATCTCAAAAAAGCGAGTCTTTCGAAACGGTAGCGATGAAAAATTAATTTTAAAAAGGCGCGCAGTCGGGTATTATTTTTATCTCATTATTACAATATTTTATTATCACACTGCTTGCGTCAGGCTGGACGGCTTACGATTTCGTTCGTTGTGTTGTCGGGCATTAATTTCATCGTCTAGTTGCTACTTCACAGAAATCTTTTGTCACCTTATTTTTATACGTTAAAAATTTTCTACAACAGTTAAATGCCAACAATAACAACAGTATTACCTTTGTTTCAGTTATAAATTGTTATTTTCTTAATGGTACGAATTAATGACATCGTTTGGCAGAAGTAATGCCATCTTTAAACTTTAATCTGTTTTTTGTATACAGGGTAGACCAAAATTTACCCTTTTGTTGTTACAAACTGGCGCAAAAAAATTGCACTATTACTATTACATCAGTTTTGTTTACTAATAGGATATGATAAATTTTGTTTGCGCTCTTATATTGGTCCACCTTGTATACCATGGAATTAAACTGTGAGGAAACAAAATGATATTTATAGATCTGTTTTTTTTTTGCAATTTTTAGCCTTTTTAATGATTTTTTATTTGAATTCTGTATCGTAAAATGAAGTTTATTAATTACATAAAATAGTTTCTGAATAGGGCCGCACGTAGTTCGCAGATATAAAGTCCGTACTTAGAACGACGATCGCAGTATGTTCTTTAATTTAATACTGTGTTACCTCACAGTATAGTTTACTATAATTGGTTAATTAAATGGTTCTAGTTATTTTATGCTAGTCGTAGTAGAGGAGATTATTTTCATTGTTATTTGAAGTACTTTGACTTTATTTTGTAATGATGTTAAAATATATGTATTATGTATATTGTGCCAAAAAAATACCGAATTATAGGTATATTTTTTCTTGTCAGGAATTTTAACAGTGAGTGATTGATTGAACAGTTTTGGCACATACAGGGTGCATAGAAAATATTACTAAATGATATTTAGTAAAAATGACTGATGATCCGTTTCATAATACTATTTTTTTTGTATTGTTAATTGTGATTGTGTTGAAAATTGAAAACGTCTCAAAATTTGATGTTATCTGTTTGTAATTTACAGCCTGAACACACTGTAAATTACCTATAAGTATTAAAATGTTAAATATTTTTTTATAAAATGTCTGGCAGAGGAATGTACTAAATATATATTTATTTTTTATATGCTTTTGTTAGTAGTATATGCAGATATACAGAGTGTCCTGCCATAACTCAAAATCAGTAAAGTAAGGGCTAAGCAGATGGGTACTAACGGTTGATAGCTGTCTTCTTTATCTTTTTTGGCGGTGGGGCACCCTGTACATCAAGATCTGAGAAACTTTATGTGTTAATTATAAAACACGTGCTACGTGTACAGGACTTTGATTCGATTCTGTGTTAATGTTTGACACCCTGTATACGACACGTGCTTAATGTCTTTATTTATTGTTCAGTTGAATCCTTTATTTTTATTAGTGTTGTACTTATTGTATTTCCATTCCGTGTCTCGTAAACAATACACTTGTACCTATGTATGTTTATAACTAGATGTTATAGCGCGTTGTTTGTATAATAATAAGTCGTCGGTAAAAATGTTTATCCTCAATTAATGCCTGAGGCTAAAAATAAACATTCTATCGACGAACATCTGGAATCGTTTTGATATTAAAGTTGAATGGGTTTGCCAATAAACAAATATCTCTTTCAGCGTTACAAATAAGTGTTTGTAGCCGCGGACGTAAGTGATGCCAATGTAATAAATTAAAAATAGACGAACAACGCGCAACATCCGTTATATACATTTATACCGAATACAAGGATTGAACAAATTTAAAGCGGGCATCTTCACTATATCCAAAAAGTCCTAAAAACTAGGGAGAAAAGGAGATTTACTTTCTATTTGATCAGTCCCTGTGTTAAAACTGAAAAACAAAACTATTGCTTCCTTTGTGCCAGTATTTTACATACCTATTAGATATGTTACTAATATACTATGTATTACTACCATTATCATTACTATTATTATTACATACATATACCTATACACGTATGTCTAGTCCATATCTTTGAAAATCTGTTGTTACCTGTTTTTACTCTATGTCATCTGTAAATATGTTACTATTATAGATGTGTTAGATTTGATCGTGAAGAGGAGAGAAAGTGTGAGATAGAGAAAGATTGTGCGAATTATTTTTGTTTCCGTAGTTATATATTAATATATACACACACACTATATATATATATTTGTAATGTTATTCGATTTTATTATTGGGATTGTTTGTTGATTATTAAAAATCATATCAAGAAAAAAAATCGGTGTTTTATTGTGACTTTTACAGGGCTGACTATTGGAAATCACAATCGAGAAAATATTGCGACTTTTGTAAATGTTGGATTGCTGACAACAAACCGGTGAGTACGTAGTGTAGTTTATTTTTCAACCCCCTGTATATGTATCCAAAATAAAACTAATTTTATTGATTGGATATTTTTTTAAGAGCGTCGAATTTCATGAGAAAGGCAGACGACACAAGAACAATGTTGCAAAAAGGATCAATACGATTCAGAGGAATGCCAGAAAGGAGGAACGGGAATCCCAGAAGACGGATCAGATGATGAAGCAGATGGAATCTGCGGCTTTGGCGGCTTATCGAAAAGATGTTGAAAATAGTGCAGATTTTTCTTCGGTAGCATTGAAAGAAAAATTGAAACAGGACAATTTGCAACTTAGCGACGCTAAAAAAGTTTGGCATGAGGCAAAATCGAACGAAGGCCACACATATTATTGGAATGTTTTAACAAACGGTAAGATAAATAATGTTAATGTTAAATTGACTTTTAAATGTTAGTATTAAAACTGAAGGTATCGTTTACATACAAATCAAACTAATAAACAAAATGTTAATCGAATTGCGCCAAGGCGTTTTTCAACATGTATACAGGGCGACCACATATCAGTTATTAGGCAGTTCAACATTTCAAAGCCAGTTATTCAAAAAAAGTACTAATATGAGTTGTTGTTTTTTTTTATGTTAGAATCAGTCTGGGAACCACCGAAAGAGGGTTACCTATCTCTTGCGGAACAGCGAGATGCAGCTTTATTAAAGTCCATGGGCTCTAATAAAACAAATATGGGACATTCCAAAGCATTACTTGATGACAAATTACGGTACAAAATATTTATAAATGCTCTTTTAAACTTATTTAAACAGATTCGTCTTTAGATCTCAAGAACATGAGAAAGAAATTGAAGAAGAAAGAGCGCGCCAGTTCAGGGAAAAATTAAAAGAGAGAAGGGTTGAAGATTTACCACCTGTTGTACATGCACCTATTATTCCACCAGGAAAAACAAACCCTTATGGACAGTGGCAAACAGTTACCACAAGGTAAAAAGACAGTCTCGTACGTTTTTCACGTGTTGTAACAATTTCCAAAAATTGATAATTTCTTCAGTTTTTTGCATTAAAGTAAAAAGTCCAATTTTATTTTGCTCTACAACTCTCGGGGGTGAATAGAAACAAAAATTAATACTTGTTAATTAATGTTTACGATAAAATAAAAATGTTTTTTATATGTATATTAATTTTTTTTATGTTATAGTGAAAAACCCTTACAGTTAGATTTACCTCAATTAGAACCGGCGTACGAGGTTCCGGTTTATGAACCCGAGCCTACACCACAACCAAAGGAGTTTAAGGAAAAGACTGTGGAAAGTCTTGGAACCGGCAATACGACGTTTAAGAAACGAAAAATCGGTATGGGTGCAAAAATGAATATAAGAAGACGAGCTGATGATTAATTAAGAGAGAAGTAATTGTAATGAGTTTTAAATATACATAATTAAGGGTAAGTTTATAATAAGTTGTTTTATTCCCTTCTGAAAGAATTCCTTGCGTGATCAAATAATAAATGCTTTTGAAGAATGAGGTAGCTATGGAGACTTGGGCTTTTAAGGCCATGGTTTTAAGGAATTTTTAACATTACATTGTCATATGAAACGATAATTACCATGAGTACAAATTTGTTGGTCCAAAGCCTTGTTGCGACACGCACGTCTAATCTTCGTATGCCCCTGTTTATTCCTGTTGCTGCTTCTAATATGTCTCGTAGCTAACCGTTTATGTTTCAGAAGGTGTCCTACCACCATCCTGCCTCTCCATTTCATTATTAACTTCCATGGCGCCTTCTGTTCTCTCACGGTATTTTTGTCATCCGCCCATAACACCACATCTCAAACGTTTCTAACTTTGTCTGAATTTCCAAATGAGCACAAATAAAAAAAGAATGTTTGAAAACATTTAAATTTGATAATACAGCTACTCCCATCGTAAAAAATGTTTGAAATTACTAGTTTGAAAAGGTATGTAGTTTTAGTTTACTTACCTTTATTAATAATTGCGTTATCAAAGGCTTTATAAATTCAAGTAGATAGTCATTATCTACTTGCTACAGGTACACGCTTTAGTACCAGTTAAATTTATCGGCGAGGTGATTGAGCGCAATGTACGACGATACAAAGATAAGTGACATTGTGTGTTTATTACTTTTCACCTGGAATTTAACAAAAAACTAAATATTGTCTATAGTTACCTAATTATTTATTTTTACGCAAGATCGAGTCCAACCTTAATCAGCAGAAAATAAAGGTGCTACATTCGATTATATTATATTTTCATATCAAGAATTTTTATTGGTGCAAAGTGTAAGTATAAAACACGTATAATTTAATAATTGCATGTATCACGTACCTGTTTGACGCTAATCGCAAATTATTAATTAGCAACAATGTTTAATGCTGTGAAATTTCTTTTTATCTGCTTATTTTGCTTCCTTACATTTTAATTTAAATAAATAAATTATTATTATTGAGATTTTAGCTATTTAATTTATATTTCCAGTGGCGTACACATGGTAATCATATAGGTTTAAAAGTCAATAAATAAACTGTTTTTATTCCAAAATGGATTCTACAAGTAGTTACAGAGGCCCTTATAGTATGGTGAATTTAATGGTAACAGAAAAGGATTATTTAAAATACGTAAGTGGTTTGTTACTTCATATATATTTTTATATTTATTACAATTAAATTCAAATCTTTGCAGGCACAATCAATTAATAAAGCAATAGTTGGCCTCGAATGTCCTGTTAAACCGAAGCATCTAAGGTTTACGGTAGTAGGGACTTTTCGGGAACAGGGGGCTAAAACTTTTTGGTCGGTAGCTCTCAGAGCACCCTATCTGGACGACAGGATTGTTGCATGGAAGCTTTGTTACGTGGTTCATAAGATACTTAGAGAGGGACATCCTTTATGTTTGGTTCACAGTCAAGCACACAAAAAAGAATTGGACGAAATGGGAAAACTTTGGGTAGACTGTCGTTGGTGTTGTTGTGAATCCGGAATTTTTTGAAATTATTATTTCTGATTGTAGAGACATTTGAGGGGCACCTACAGTCAGGCTATTAGACTCTACGCTAATTTACTTATCACAAAAATAGACTTTCATAGTAAAAACCCCAGGTTCCCTGGAAATTTGGTTGTCAACGACGACGAATTAAATTCAATACTGTCTAACGACATAAATAATTAGTAAGTGAGAATTAAGTATATTTTGCAGTTTAACCAACTTGAACAAATCTTCATTAGTTTTGAGGTGGCCGTGGAGATTTTTGATTATCTGGATCGTATCATAGAGTTACAATCAGCAAGTAAGTAATGCCATTCTCATCTAGGCACTTATTAGTTTTTTTAGACTTGTATTTTGTCATTTTGAAACAAAGTTAAACTTATATTTTTTTTTTTTAGTATTTGGCCCAATAAACATCACTCAAAACAACTCAGATTTTTTAAGTGCTGCAGACCAGTGTTTATTGTCACCAATCGTTCTTTGTTTGCAAGATGCCTCGAAACTGTACGACTACAGCGTCAAAATAATGTTTAAGTTACATTTAACGGTACCAGGTGAAGTCATAAGTGGTCATAGGGATCGTTTTTTAAAGGCTTTTCAGGAGTTAAAGGAATTTTACAAAAGGACCAATAGAATACCTTACTTAAGGAATCTTGTAACGGTGCAACATCTGCCTAACGTATGTTTTACCAGTTTTTATTAAGTTGATGGTAATTTTGTTATGTTTATTGTTGTTTAGGATCCTCCAGATTTTTTTAAAGAGAGCGAATTTTATTCCTATGTTACCCAAGATGTCACTTTGCCAGAAGAAGGTACTCTGAGTGACACGTCCCATTTTAGTAAATCCACCGAATCTTTAGACTTCAGTTACAGTCACCACGGTTCGAACGAGGGAACATTAATAGACATATCATCGTTGGATGATGAATTTCGGGGAAACCCCTTTCGCACTGACCATACACTTTCCCCTTCTGCACCAATATACGAACAGTTGAATTTTAAAAACGAAACAGAGAAGGATACACATACGCATGTAGAAAACGATGTCGAACTAATGAGGTGTGTATTTTTAAAAATTATGCAGGGTGTTGTGAAGTAGAATAATTTTAAAATATGCAGCATATAAATCAATTAAGGGTTAACATAAAGAATAATATCGTGAGACCATGTTTACAATTAACAACCATTTTTACTAAATGTTATTTACTACGTAACATTATCATTTAAAGTGCCTTTTTTATTTGGTATTTCAGAGGTAAACTTGATTCCGTCGTTCTAGAAAATCAAAGAAAAACTTTGAGTTTAGAAAGTCGAATTTTGGAACTTGAAGCCGAACTAGAAGAAAAAAATCGTCAGCTTACCATTGAAAGGCAAATGAGGGAGTCCCTGCAGAAAGCTGCCGTTCCGGAAGTTGTTTCTAATCAAACGGGTACTAACAACTTAATTAATGACTATAATTAAACGTATTTTTTGTATTGCTGTTTTTATTTCAGGTCGTTTTGGATTCGGAGAAGCAAACAAAATTACTGATCTCTACGCCAAACTTCGATTTGACTACATAGAAGTTCTGCGAAAGGTAAGTTCATAAGTTTATGTTGTAGTTTTTATTGTATTATAATTCTGTACTAAAAAGAGAATTAGGAAACCTTACTTATATATACATCACGTCTTCACGAGTAAAGAAAAATATTTGGTTAATTTGGTACACCTTTTGTTTTAATATTAAATCACATATTTCTTAAAATATGGCTAAAAAAGATATAAAAAAAAGTTTAATTTTCTTAATGTTTTTTTTTTGTTATTTATATAGAACGGGGAACTACAAAAACAGGTATTCGATTTAAAAACTAAACTAGCTGAAAAGGAAACGGAGTCCTTTGTTTAAGTCGTTTGTATGTATAATTTAAATAAATAGGTTACAGATATAAATAAAATTTGTTAATAAACTAATACGACAGTTACTACAGTTTTTCGTTTTGTTTATAACAAAATCCTTAATCCTTTTCCAATAAAACTAATGTTTTAGCCATATGTTTTCTAATCTGATTTAATATTTGGTTTATTTATTATTGATAGTACTTCATAAGTGTTTTTTCTTCAAATATTATACATAAAAGAAAAATATGAGTGCTGTCAGCACAGGGCAAAGTAGTATTACCTGGTTAGTATCAGCAATTTCTTATGCTTAAGTGTACGATGTGTTGCATACCTATTTACATATAGTTCCTTTAAATTTAATTTTTCAAACAATTTTTAACAAAGAAGGTGATAAAACAAATTATTCACAAAAGTGAATTTCGACCACTCGAAGCATGGTGTTAACAGTTTCGAGCTCACAGTGACTAATAGGGTGGAATATCTAGTATATATAACAAAAAGACATACAATACGTGTTATTTTCAAGTTTTGGCATCTGATCATGACTAGTGCTACATTTTGAGGATCACTGATATTTTACTTGTGGAGCTAACTTCACAGCAATATGTATGTGCGCGAAGTATAGCCTGAAGTTGCTCAGTTCGTGTTTGTCAGGGACGGAGTGTTGTAGTGTGTGGGAGTTGTTCCGTGTTTTTGTTTTCTTTATTGTTGTTTAATTGAAACAAATGACTATTTAGTAGTTTATAAGTGTTATGGCATCGTTATCGTTACCTAGAGTATTGCATCCACGAAAAACTAGCTTGGAAATTGAGAGGGAGAATTTCGAGAAGGCACAGGTGCGATAATTTTGTATACAATATAGGTTATTATTGTCGGCATTTAATTCCGCCGTTTCTTCTCTCCTTGTTTACGTTTTTTTTGTACTTGTAATTACTTTTAAAGAGACAAATTACTCAGCATTTCTTGCTTTCGTTGCCGAATATCCTAGAAACGACGATTTAATTAATTATTCGCATTTAAAACAATTCATGCGTGGGCAGAGGTGTGAAAACAGGAAGACAAATATTTGGTTGGCGTATGAGACATAATGAGAGCTAATTTCGATACCGCCTTTTTCGTAATTGTTTATTGATAACAATACAATTTAATTATTAAATTCCTTTTTCTGTTACAAAATGTTGCATTGCAACAGGGATTCAAAACCGAAAGCGTTTAATTTAATGAACGCATTTGAGTCCCATTAGTATATGCACATGGAACATACTTGTTTGTTTTTGTTACCATAAAAAAAATGTAATTGCTCTTATGATTATGTATGTCATGTCACTGACTTATTTTGCAACCATAAACGGGGATGCCATTAAGGAGAAAACGTCTATAAATTCGATTGTTATATATTAATTAGACAAAGATATCAATCACCTGTAGTTTGATTACAATGAGCTTACTTATCTAAGGTACCTAAATATTTTTCTCATCACCTAATGTGTAAATTTGCTAAATTACACAACTAATACTTTATCACTTGCAAGGGTATTATATAATCGAAGTTTCTAAAAAGTATTTTACAATTAATAAGACATACGGCTAATTCGTACACATTGGCAACGAAAATTTCTTTTAAAAAAACCTTTTATATGAAAGTACTTACCTAATATGTGTATCTATTAATTAATTTTATGAAGCTATTTTTAGTTTGTATAGCAAATTAATCACTTATTTCATCATAGCAGTGGCGTAACTGTAGGGGAAGAAGTAGGCACGTTGTTATTCTATTAAATAGTTTGTCAACGTTTTTATTGTATTTGCTTGCTTTTTGATTAAATGATTTTATCATTCCATTATTATCTGTTCGAGGGGAACTTTCTTTTTTCACAGTGTTTACATTTTCGGTCAGCACTGTAAGCGAATAGGGTGCAAAAATAGATTCTATAAATTCCATTTTCTGCGTATACAAAACCAGCTTAATTAACATGCCTCTACTGCCTATCTAATTATTTAGGATTAGGTATTTTAAAAATATTTTTTTATTGTTTTTTTTTTATATCTATAAAATATTGTATACATATTAAAAAATCATTAAACACCATATCCTTAAAAGATATGAAATTGCACATGTTAATTAATAATTTGTTTTTGCTGTCTCATCAAGGCTGTTTGCTTTCATTCATTAATTTTGTCGAAAACATACATTTTATGAGACTGTTTTACAAGAAATTCATGACGCAAATAAAAAAATTTCGTGTTTTGTTCTTAAAAAAATATAATTGATTTGTGATTTTCTTGAAATTAATTTCTTAATCAAATAGGATTACATGTAGGTACATATGTAGCAATTTTTCTGCTGATTCATTTCCAACTGCAACTAATAATAAAATTTAGTTTAGCGTTCCCTTGTCTACTTGTTTTTTTAACTGAAAAAAGTTCTCTGCTGTTTTAAGTAACACAATAAAACCTTGACCAATAAAGTTTACTAAATCGATTGTAATGTTTACGTAGGACAAAGCGTGAAATCGTTCAAAAAACGGAACAGCTAACATAAAACATCATCTAAAAAGGCTGTACGTTGGCTGTCTTTATTGATTTTGAACAACTTTATAGCAGATATATTAGCGTAATGAAAGTAGCATTTTAAACTGTTTTATAAAGAGATTGTTTCTTGTATGTAAAAATGAAAATTCTGTTAAAAGGATTTCATTAGCAGATATCAAGGTTTTTGCTGACTATATTTATAATTAGGTACATCTTATTAGATTATTTATCACCCTATTATGTCAGAAGAACATTTTAATAATTTATTGTGTGGTATTGTAAAACCTTGAAGTAGATTTATAATTGAAAGTAAACTACAAACGGTGTACCTGTGTGTTAGAAGTGAAAAATAAAGTAACTTACGAAATAAATTTGTTATTAGAATTCTTATTCTATGTAACTTGTTCTTCTGTTTTAAGTTAATGTTGGTGCAATCTTATTGTATGCGTAGACATACAAATTCGTTTACAGTTTAAGAAGCAGTTTACTTTTAATTTAATATTACTGTATATTATTATATCTAGTGTAACAACTATTTCGTTCGTTAACCTATTCGATTAGTAATGCGTAAAGTTTTTATTGGTAGTTTAATATGTAGAACACATTAAAGTAAACTCAATTTTTTTTTATTAAAATCTGTGTTTTGCTATGTAGATACCGGTATTTCAAAATCTCATGGGCCGCAAAGTGCACGAGGGGCTTCGCTTATTGCATTTATATTGTAGGTACATTTCAAAACTATTAAACGTGTTGAGTACTATACAATCAAAAATATACAAATAAAAATCAGTGATCCAGGTCATAGACCATGAAATTCAGAATTACCTATACCCAATATGGAGTTAGCTTTGTATCTACAACTGCGTGTCTTTACATTACTATATTAACATATATATTACAGATTAGTCATCAATTACAAGACTAACAGTTTTGTTATTTTCGCTATGAATAATTCACTTCCAGTTCTAAACTATCTGTGTAGACCTTCGAGAAAAACAGTCAAGGTTTAACGAGTACAAGGAAAAATAGTCATTCATTAATTTCAGCAAGTGTTTTTCAGAGTTTTTCGCAAATAGAGTTTATAACTATTATTGATCAAAATAATGTAAGATTATGTTCACTTACCCTTTTCGATATTTTTTTATATTTTATTATATTACAAAGGAACAAAAAAAGGTGTTGTATCGACTGGTAAATGAGCTCGAGTCCCTGCCAGGGCAGATAAGAACACATGATTCTGATTGTTTTAGAAAGTTCAAAAACTTTTAACACTCATTGTGAATAAATAATAATTTTTGTTAATCTTTAATATTGAAGCTTTAATCTTATCAATTCTTTATCTTGGTGATTGCAAACGGTTCTTTTTTAAATAACAAATTTTACTGCTAATTTAGTTTAATTCTACTAGATTAAAATGAATTGTTTATTTTCTTGTTTAGCAGGTGGTTGCAACTTGTAAGTGTACCACTCATGTGAATATGATTAACATTTAAATTGTCTTTAAAACAATAATTAGTTGGGGTATCGGGCACTACTTGCTTTATTTATTATAGAAAATATTTACTTATTTATTATCTCACTCTTTGTTTGGTTTCGTTTTAAATTAAGTGTACAGTATTTATATTACCTTACTTTTCTTTGTCTATTAGGTAAGTTTTTTTTTTAATTAAAAGAAATTTTCAAAGTTACTTATGTTTAATTTGTCAGTTTTAATAAAAATTATTTATAACTTAATGCATCCACCTTTAAATAATTAGTTTAGTTTTTCTTGAATTACAAACTAAATAAAATGTATGTGGTTTGTATTGTTGCAGTAATTTAATGTGCTTCAGTGAATCAAAATAACGAACTTCGTGCATTTGCAAGTGGTAATAAAAATAATTGTTTCGATAGCCAAGTACATACCTAGTTCGTTTATTACAGTTTTGCTTTAGTCTCTTTCTTACTACATACAAATAATAACATAGGTACTTACAAAAATATTTTCAATAGTTTCTTTGAAGTTTAATCAATACCAAATTAGAGTTTTAAATACATTTTAAAGTGCTTTGTTATGATAATGGACTGTGCATGTTAATTGTATTAAACTAGTTAATTAATTTCCTAATCTGTTTTCTTTAGGCTTACTTGTGCATTTTTACTAGCTAAATATATTTCTTTTCTGCTTGGAATTTTCAGACTGCATGATATGACTATTTTTTAATTTATTTATGACGCTTTTACTAATACATTGCATGGTTAATGGAAAATGGAAACTGAAAATAAAAGAAATGGTTATCCAACCTATAATATGGTTAATCTGATGGTAACAGAGAAAGATTATAACAAATATGTAAGTAGTAGTTGGTATGTAGGTAATGGGTGGATACTAATAATTTGAGCTTAATTTTTTTAATCAGTTATGTTTGAATGGTTTATTAGCATTTGTAAAATTTTTTTCTTCTAATTTTGAAAGTAACGAAAAGATACATAATTCAACAACATGAAATGGATACATTTTTACTTTGCCTTGTATGTCTAAAACAAAAGAAGGTTAATAAAAAGTTATGTTTAGTACTTTTATGATTTTTAAAAAATATTAGTTTGCCAGTTTACAAAAAGTTTGAGGTGCACTGGAACGAAGAAGCATTGACGTAGGTTCATTAAAAACTAATTAACGATGGTAATTTGTCGTCAGAGGTAAAATGGTATTCAAGTAGCGTGAAAAATGTAGTTAATGTGTTTGATTGTTTCTACCAAACTAGAGGCTTTTGAACTCCAATAATTTTTTTCTTATTTAAATTTTTATTTACCCACAGTAATAAATTTTGTAATATAAACATGTGTTTTAAATAACATTCATGTTTTTAAGGTTTATTTCTATTGGTAATGCAATAACAATAACTTTATACGATAAAAACTGCGATATATACATAAAAAAGTAGCAATAAACATCTGTGTGTGTTACGGTTTTTAGGCATCACATTGTTTCCTTTTTTGGTTTTCTTGTCTAGCTTTGTGTTACATGTGTAATGTACATCAACACATTGCGATAGCTGAGTGTGTTTTGTAATATTAGTTATTACTAGTCGCGGAAGTAGATAGGAACAGGAAGTCTTGATATACAACTATACTGCCTCTCTGAAGAATAACCAATGCTTGTCAAAAGTTTTCTATGATTTATTTAAAAAATTAGTACAATAAACTATACAAAAATTTATCTTAACTTTTTATAATTTATTATCTTGGAAATATTAATTGTCAAAACTGCGTGAAAACTACTGTAAACGCAGAATACGAGGGTGGATTGATAAGTTTCCGGCCTAACCAAGAGATGACGCCACTAGGCCTACCTTGAGGTGACATTCTATAGTACCATCCTTGGATAGCTTGTAGCTATAGTTTCAGCCCGATCTCNGAAGCAGGTGAGTTGTAAACTTGTAACGAATTGAAACATCCAACAGGAACCTCCCAAACAATTAGTGTACATCAAACAGCATTTAAATTTTCTTTGAGTTTTTCTGACTTTCTTGGGAAATCACTGAACGTACGTCTAAAATAGATTTATAAATAAAGATCGCGATTTCTTTTTGGATCTCATCAGCACGTCGCAGGCAGGTCCGACGGAACACAGACCAACTTTTACCTGCTGTCTTTACAGCGCGTTTTAGAAAATACCACAAATGGCGCGGTAAACGCCATCTGCAGTACGATGCTACATTTTAGGATTACTTATAAAAAATACCTTTTCATTATTTTCCTGTCGTTGTAGAGGAACTTGATACATCGAATATGACGCTTCATCAGGCGAAACGACTGGAAATGGACGCTCAAGGACCATATAGTCGTTTTGAGACAGGTAAATTTAAATAATGAATTTAAAAAGTCATTAAATGTCCTTTGTTTTTTTTTTTTTTTTAGAAAGGCGAATTACAGAAAAATGTAACAACTTGTAACAAACGAGTACAAGAGCTAGAGCAAAGTATTGTTGATTTGAGAGATCAGATGAAGGAAGTGGAACTTCACCATGTTAAAGAACAAGAAAAGCTACAGCAGTCCTCTGTAGAGGTGTCTGAAGAATTGGAAAATTTGAGGAGAGATAAAGACCTTTTTAATATGGAAACTGAAGTAAATACTTATTGCTCAATTACCTTTATGTAAGCGTAGGTGTAATATTTTATTCCTTTACAGGTGTTACGGAAAAGCATAGAAGATGCAAACAGGGATAAAAATGCATTAAACGATGAATTGATAAAAGTCAAAGCCTACAAACAGGACATTGAAGAACGAATAAGTGACCTTTTGACCAGCAACGAAAATCTACACAAGGAAATAGAGCAAAGTAATATGCTGTTACTTTACTTTACTATATTAGTCAATTAATTAAAAAAATAATTATTTTAGCGAGGTTGGATAATATGGATAAAATCAAAGAAATTCTCGTAAAATCAATGGAAGAGAGTGAAATTATAGTAAAGAGATCAATACATGAAATTGATAATCCTGCTTTGGCAGCAGTTACCTGTACCACCGACTACCTCCGAAGTCTAAAAGCTGGATGTTTGGAAGCATTAGATTCAGCCGTTTCTGGAAATCCATTAAAGAAATTATTTTTTCCGTTTTCGTAGGTTACAAGTTACTTTTTAAATAAAATAAGTAATTTATTAAATAAATATGTTTAGGTAAAACATATTTATGAGTAATAAGTTACAATTTTTTCGTGACATTAATCAATCAATCAATTAATTTTAGTAATTGACAATGCTATGCAATTTTGTAGTGGTCATTTTAATCTGAAAACCAAAAAGTGGTAATAATTCGCTATTTTTCAATTTTTCTGTATTGTTTTCTGTTTTATTTAGTATATTTCAAATTATAAGATGAAATAAATTTTGCAGGCTACTGCCATTCATAAAGCTATAAACAACCTCGAAGTGCCTGTAAAGCAAAAACATGTTCGTTCCGCCATCATTGGTACCTTTCGGGAGCAAGGTGCCCAGACGTTTTGGGCGGTTACCCTTAGGCTTCCATATCTCGACGACAGGATCGTCGCTTGGAAACTGTGTCACGTAGTCCACAAGGTTTTAAGGGAGGGACACCCCCTTTGTCTCGTACACAGTCAGAGACACAAGAGGGACATTGACGAAATGGGAAAATTATGGGTAAAATTATAACTCCATGGAACTATTGTTTTCTGTAAATTACAAATAAATTGTTTTATTCTTAGGTACATTTGAGAGATAGTTATGCTAAAATGATTAGGCTTTATTGTAATTTGTTAATGACAAAGTTGGACTTCCACAAGAGAAACCCGAGATTTCCCGGACATTTGGGGGTCACTAACGAGGAGTTAGAATCAATTGCTGCAGGTGACATAAACAATTAGTAAGTATAAGACAAAATCTGCATAATTGACTTTTCCAACTAATTTTTGTAATAGTTTTCAGCTATCTGTTGAAATGTTCGACTATTTAGACTGCATTTTGGAATTACAAGCAGCAAGTAAGTAGTAAATTTTTTAGTATCATTTCAAAATTGCTTCTTAACTATTTTTTTGCAGTTTTTGGTTCCTTGGACATGTCAAGGTCTAATTCAATGACTTGTGCGGGTCAGTGTAGATTAGCACCCCTCATTCCTTGTATACAGGACGCCGCAAGACTGTATGACTATTGCGTTAAAATATTATTTAAATTACACTCGTCACTGCCTCCTGATACCTTGTCCGGTCATCGAGACCGATTCCTTAAGGAATTTAAGGAGTTAAAAGCTTTTTATCAAAACACTAACAATCTTCAGTATTTCCGAAATCTGATTACCGTTCCACCTTTACCGGAGGTAACTAAAACATTTAAATAATGATTAATAGTATGCATATGTTTCTTTCTCTTGTAGAATCCACCGAATTTTTTGCTTCAAGCGGAATTGAGAACGTACGTTACCCAAGAGGTGACCGTTCCAGAGGAGGAAGAGCCAATTTCTGAGGCAAATTTAGTGGACACAACTGATAATAGTAATAGTAACAGTAACGACACTAACAGCCATGGTTCTTTATCGCCAGCTCCACCCCCCCATTATTTTGAACTTATTCATGAACGAGACATGTTGATAAAACATTTGCAAGATGAAATTGAAAGGCAACGGTAAGAAAAAAAAAACATTTGAAACGTTGAAGAGAGGTAAAGCTTTTCTCTATACTTTTCAGACATGAAACCAAAGCAGCGTTTAAGGAAAAGCAGAAAACATTGGCGAAATTGGAGGAAAAGGTGAACAGTTTGGAAACTGAATTAGCCACAAAAGAAAGTGAACTAATTCAAGAAAGGCAGATTAAAGAGGACCTATTTCAGCAAGCAACAGCAGTGGCCCATTCGCAGGACTCTGAACGTAATTAAAACACGCTATTCATTTTACCATAAATGGATTTTTATCTTTTTGTTTTTTCTTTTAGAGAAAATGAAAGATGAAAAATTTAACAAAATCAAAGACCTGTACGTTAAATTACGTGAAGACCATATAGTCGTTTTGAGACAGGTAAATTTAAAAGGACCTATTTATGAATTTAAAAAGTCATTAAATGTCCTTTGTTTTTTTTTTTTTTTAGAAAGGCGAATTACAGAAAAATGTAACAACTTGTAACAAACGAGTACAAGAGCTAGAGCAAAGTATTGTTGATTTGAGAGATCAGATGAAGGAAGTGGAACTTCACCATGTTAAAGAACAAGAAAAGCTACAGCAGTCCTCTGTAGAGGTGTCTGAAGAATTGGAAAATTTGAGGAGAGATAAAGACCTTTTTAATATGGAAACTGAAGTAAATACTTATTGCTCAATTACCTTTATGTAAGCGTAGGTGTAATATTTTATTCCTTTACAGGTGTTACGGAAAAGCATAGAAGATGCAAACAGGGATAAAAATGCATTAAACGATGAATTGATAAAAGTCAAAGCCTACAAACAGGACATTGAAGAACGAATAAGTGACCTTTTGACCAGCAACGAAAATCTACACAAGGAAATAGAGCAAAGTAATATGCTGTTACTTTACTTTACTATATTAGTCAATTAATTAAAAAAATAATTATTTTAGCGAGGTTGGATAATATGGATAAAATCAAAGAAATTCTCGTAAAATCAATGGAAGAGAGTGAAATTATAGTAAAGAGATCAATACATGAAATTGATAATCCTGCTTTGGCAGCAGTTACCTGTACCACCGACTACCTCCGAAGTCTAAAAGCTGGATGTTTGGAAGCATTAGATTCAGCCCTCACAGTTTCCTTCGACAAACCCTCAAATCTTGTAGCATCGTCATCTAGAATAGCCCACAGACTAGCGACGTTTTTACTGCAAGGAAGAGCCACATCTAACACTAGCCCAGACATCATGTTTGGAGAAAGTAAGTTGAACAAGAAAAAATAATTGGAAAATTAATTGCTTTCTTTGTAGAAATGGCTGATGCTTGTAAACAACTTGGTGAAAGTACAATTCTGGTTTTGGAGTCCCTTAGGAAGGGCCAATCAGCTGAAAAAGAAGTGGAATTGACGAAAGAACGACTAAATGGGGTATCTTCCCTTGCAGAGACCATTAGCGGTTCCTTGAAGGGTGAAACAGCGGAAAGTTTAGCTGATATGATAGAAAACGAAATGGCTGCCATGGATAAAGCAATTGAAGAGGCTGCGAAATTAATTCAGGTAATATTTTAAACCTAAAAGTAATGTTCACTATTCGGATTAATGTTTTGTTCTCATTTCAACTAGATAATTATTTGAATTATGACAAAAATAATATTTCCAAACATTAGCTGTATCGTAAGTTCAAATTAAGACTTATTTTATCGAGTTTTATGTTCTTTTTATTAGATAAATACCAAAAAAATTGTTTTATGTAAATTATTTTAGCAGTAGTGCTCTACAATATAGGCAACACGCTAAGCTTCGGTGATTGTCTTTTTGCATAACTTAATAAATAAAAATCTTCTTGTTGACACCATAATGCATTGAATTTGATTGAATCTTTTAAATAATTTATGTATTTACAGGAAATGTTAAGCAAATCTCGGGCTGCAGACTCAGGAATAAAACTGGAGGTCAACGAAAAGATCCTAGACTCTTGTACAACTCTCATGCAGGCAATTCGAATTTTAGTACAAAAAGCAAGATTTTTACAAAACGAAATTGTTGCTCAAGGAAAGGTAAACCAACAAACTATGATATTCATATTTTTATAATGTAAATTAATGTTTATTTTTTTTTAAAGGGAACTGCAAGTGCAAAAGAATTCTATAAGAGGAACCATCAGTGGACTGATGGATTTATTTCAGCAGCCAAGGCAGTTGCTGTTGCAGCAAAATTGTTACTGTAAGTTAATATTTAATTGACATACTTTATTTAAGCCCTTGCCTAACATAGAACATACATCAGTTAGCAGCATATTTTGGTAGATATTACGTATATCAGTTTGCTTTTAAAGAAGTCCTTCAATTTGGCCAGTGGCTTATCGATATTAATATTTGATATTTTTTGTTTTAGTAATGCGGCTGACAAAGCTGTTAGTGGACAGGGTAAGTTGGAGCATTTGGTGGTAGCTGCCCAAGAAATAAGCGCTTCAACCGCCCAGTTAGTGGTAGCTAGTCGCGTTAAGGCCAACAGAAACAGCGACAATTTACAACAATTGACGCAGGCGTCTAAGAGCGTTACGAACGCTACTGGAGGCGTCGTTGCAACAGTTAAAGACTGCAGTTCGCTCATAGATGAAGCAGGTGAGTTGTAAACTTGTAACGAATTGAAACATCCAACAGGAACCTCCCAAACAATTAGTGTACATCAAACAGCATTTAAATTTTCTTTGAGTTTTTCTGACTTTCTTGGGAAATCACTGAACGTACGTCTAAAATAGATTTATAAATAAAGATCGCGATTTCTTTTTGGATCTCATCAGCACGTCGCAGGCAGGTCCGACGGAACACAGACCAACTTTTACCTGCTGTCTTTACAGCGCGTTTTAGAAAATACCACAAATGGCGCGGTAAACGCCATCTGCAGTACGATGCTACATTTTAGGATTACTTATAAAAAATACCCATAAATGGATTTTTATCTTTTTGTTTTTTCTTTTAGAGAAAATGAAAGATGAAAAATTTAACAAAATCAAAGACCTGTACGTTAAATTACGTGAAGACCATATAGTCGTTTTGAGACAGGTAAATTTAAAAGGACCTATTTCAGCAAGCAACAGCAGTGGCCCATTCGCAGGACTCTGAACGTAATTAAAACACGCTATTCATTTTACCATAAATGGATTTTTATCTTTTTGTTTTTTCTTTTAGAGAAAATGAAAGATGAAAAATTTAACAAAATCAAAGACCTGTACGTTAAATTACGTGAAGACCATATAGTCGTTTTGAGACAGGTAAATTTAAATAATGAATTTAAAAAGTCATTAAATGTCCTTTGTTTTTTTTTTTTTTTTAGAAAGGCGAATTACAGAAAAATGTAACAACTTGTAACAAACGAGTACAAGAGCTAGAGCAAAGTATTGTTGATTTGAGAGATCAGATGAAGGAAGTGGAACTTCACCATGTTAAAGAACAAGAAAAGCTACAGCAGTCCTCTGTAGAGGTGTCTGAAGAATTGGAAAATTTGAGGAGAGATAAAGACCTTTTTAATATGGAAACTGAAGTAAATACTTATTGCTCAATTACCTTTATGTAAGCGTAGGTGTAATATTTTATTCCTTTACAGGTGTTACGGAAAAGCATAGAAGATGCAAACAGGGATAAAAATGCATTAAACGATGAATTGATAAAAGTCAAAGCCTACAAACAGGACATTGAAGAACGAATAAGTGACCTTTTGACCAGCAACGAAAATCTACACAAGGAAATAGAGCAAAGTAATATGCTGTTACTTTACTTTACTATATTAGTCAATTAATTAAAAAAATAATTATTTTAGCGAGGTTGGATAATATGGATAAAATCAAAGAAATTCTCGTAAAATCAATGGAAGAGAGTGAAATTATAGTAAAGAGATCAATACATGAAATTGATAATCCTGCTTTGGCAGCAGTTACCTGTACCACCGACTACCTCCGAAGTCTAAAAGCTGGATGTTTGGAAGCATTAGATTCAGCCCTCACAGTTTCCTTCGACAAACCCTCAAATCTTGTAGCATCGTCATCTAGAATAGCCCACAGACTAGCGACGTTTTTACTGCAAGGAAGAGCCACATCTAACACTAGCCCAGACATCATGTTTGGAGAAAGTAAGTTGAACAAGAAAAAATAATTGGAAAATTAATTGCTTTCTTTGTAGAAATGGCTGATGCTTGTAAACAACTTGGTGAAAGTACAATTCTGGTTTTGGAGTCCCTTAGGAAGGGCCAATCAGCTGAAAAAGAAGTGGAATTGACGAAAGAACGACTAAATGGGGTATCTTCCCTTGCAGAGACCATTAGCGGTTCCTTGAAGGGTGAAACAGCGGAAAGTTTAGCTGATATGATAGAAAACGAAATGGCTGCCATGGATAAAGCAATTGAAGAGGCTGCGAAATTAATTCAGGTAATATTTTAAACCTAAAAGTAATGTTCACTATTCGGATTAATGTTTTGTTCTCATTTCAACTAGATAATTATTTGAATTATGACAAAAATAATATTTCCAAACATTAGCTGTATCGTAAGTTCAAATTAAGACTTATTTTATCGAGTTTTATGTTCTTTTTATTAGATAAATACCAAAAAAATTGTTTTATGTAAATTATTTTAGCAGTAGTGCTCTACAATATAGGCAACACGCTAAGCTTCGGTGATTGTCTTTTTGCATAACTTAATAAATAAAAATCTTCTTGTTGACACCATAATGCATTGAATTTGATTGAATCTTTTAAATAATTTATGTATTTACAGGAAATGTTAAGCAAATCTCGGGCTGCAGACTCAGGAATAAAACTGGAGGTCAACGAAAAGATCCTAGACTCTTGTACAACTCTCATGCAGGCAATTCGAATTTTAGTACAAAAAGCAAGATTTTTACAAAACGAAATTGTTGCTCAAGGAAAGGTAAACCAACAAACTATGATATTCATATTTTTATAATGTAAATTAATGTTTATTTTTTTTTAAAGGGAACTGCAAGTGCAAAAGAATTCTATAAGAGGAACCATCAGTGGACTGATGGATTTATTTCAGCAGCCAAGGCAGTTGCTGTTGCAGCAAAATTGTTACTGTAAGTTAATATTTAATTGACATACTTTATTTAAGCCCTTGCCTAACATAGAACATACATCAGTTAGCAGCATATTTTGGTAGATATTACGTATATCAGTTTGCTTTTAAAGAAGTCCTTCAATTTGGCCAGTGGCTTATCGATATTAATATTTGATATTTTTTGTTTTAGTAATGCGGCTGACAAAGCTGTTAGTGGACAGGGTAAGTTGGAGCATTTGGTGGTAGCTGCCCAAGAAATAAGCGCTTCAACCGCCCAGTTAGTGGTAGCTAGTCGCGTTAAGGCCAACAGAAACAGCGACAATTTACAACAATTGACGCAGGCGTCTAAGAGCGTTACGAACGCTACTGGAGGCGTCGTTGCAACAGTTAAAGACTGCAGTTCGCTCATAGATGAAGCAGGTGAGTTGTAAACTTGTAACGAATTGAAACATCCAACAGGAACCTCCCAAACAATTAGTGTACATCAAACAGCATTTAAATTTTCTTTGAGTTTTTCTGACTTTCTTGGGAAATCACTGAACGTACGTCTAAAATAGATTTATAAATAAAGATCGCGATTTCTTTTTGGATCTCATCAGCACGTCGCAGGCAGGTCCGACGGAACACAGACCAACTTTTACCTGCTGTCTTTACAGCGCGTTTTAGAAAATACCACAAATGGCGCGGTAAACGCCATCTGCAGTACGATGCTACATTTTAGGATTACTTATAAAAAATACCTTTTCATTATTTTCCTGTCGTTGTAGAGGAACTTGATACATCGAATATGACGCTTCATCAGGCGAAACGACTGGAAATGGACGCTCAAGTACGTGTTTTAGAATTAGAGAAAGAATTAGAACAAGAAAGACTGCACCTGTCCGCTTTGAGGCGACGCCACTATCAGTTGGCGGGGGAAGGAGAGGGATGGGAACTGATACCGAACAAAGCTAATAATTAACAAGTAAGTAAAAAAAATTATGTGAACGTGTTGTTAGAGTTTAAGTAACCCAAAGAAATAATTAATAATTAAGGAACCAACGTAATAAAAAAATAACGATCAATAAAAATCAATAACACACTACCATTAATTAATGAATCAATTATATTAATTAGGTTATTGTTATATTTTTATGTATCTTATATATATATAAGAAGCAGTCCGTATTTCTTCGTACTCTTCATCTAATATGATGCATATGTATTTATTTACATTTACATATATATAAGTTGAACTTTTTATGTATGTATTTGTCTCGGTATACATAATGTTGTTTTGTATGTATGTATTTAAACATTAATTATACACTAAAGTTGCAACGCCGATTACCTAATTAAAAATTACCTTCAAAATTAATACTCAAACGTTCCCTTCATTTGGTCCCTTTATTTTATAATGCACAGCATCATATTTAATTCATATTTCAGATTTCATTGAATAAATTTGAAATTTGCCGGGTTCAAATGAATTATTTCACTGGGTTAAATTTGTTTTTCATTTTGTTTCTCTCAACTCAAAACATTTGTTTTCAAAAAGTACCATATTTGAAAACAACATTTTTCTGTTGGAATATTATTTTTAATCAAGTCTTTAATTAAGATATTACTTTTTAATCTATTGAATGGATATTTTAAATTCAATTATTCGTAACAATGTTGGTGAGGTAAGTGCTTACAAGATATTTTAATTAATTAAAAGGTAATTTACAAAATTCCTTAATTCTCGTCGCCTTCAACCGCTGACGTAGTCATGAACATTTTTAAATTTTAGGCAATGAAATAAACAAAAAAACTGTAATTTTATGTTGGTCTTATTAAACTTGAACAATTTTCAATTATAAATTGTTTTTGCTTGCTTTTAATGGAGGTATTCAATTTTAAAGCTGTGTATACTATTCTACCTTCAGCGTTTATAGCGCCACAACAATAATGTAGCGGCAAATTAATATGACTTATCTATGACTTTAGCTCTATAGATGCTGTTAGTTAACAGTTATGCTCTATGGTTTTGTTTCTAGTACAAAATTTCAAAGTTTCGGAGTGCCCGCTTTCCAAGCAACTGTTAATTTTTTAGGTAAATACATCTATTATACAATTAATTGCTTTAAATAGAAATATTTGAAAGATTTAACTCACTATTTGCTACATGATAAAATACGTAACGTTTATGTCTACTAAACATTAGTAACTTGGCTCATACTTTTAAAAACAATGATGGCTTTTATCCCTTTTCGAAATTAGCAAGTTTTAATTGAAATAAAATGTTTTGAGGCACAAATTACCGTCAACAAAACTGAACTTTTTCTTGAGAAATAAATAATTATATTTAGTCTTAAAACTGTTAACGTTCAATAATAAGAATAATAATGAAAGACTTGGTCCAGAAGAATAATTCAACTTTAACAAATAATATCTCCCAAAATATCATTTATTAAAAATTAAATACATTTCAATATAATATACTGATATCCTAAAAATATATCAACACATGGTTCCACTTAATTTCTAATATAACATATCATCATCTTTATAACAAATGTAAAATATTTGGCATGATACTTAATTGTACAAAAAAAACAGGCAAGTAAATCGCATAA